TATAACTATAAAGAAGCTCTTAGTAAGACAAGCTCGCTAGGTAAAGTATTTTTCCTGCTACTATTTCAAGCTTATATATTGGGCAGGTAAGTCGAATAAATAAGCGAATGCCCTAAGTAGAAAATACGAGGATATAACTGCCTAGGACAAGATAATAGTAGCTTACTAAACCCAAATTCTCCTCCCATAATAAAAGATTAATAATAATATTATACGGGATCTCTAGTTAGCCCTAATTAAGGCCTTTATAAGCCTGGCTTAGGAAGAAACCTAGTATAATAGTATCTAGCTAGTAGATAAGCTATTAAGCAAGAACCGAGAGTTACTAGAGCTAGAAGAGCTACGGGATAAGGCAAGAAATGAGAAGGAAGGTACTTGGATACTATAAGATAGCTTTCTCTTATAATATAGTAAACTATTTATGCCTAATAGTATAATAATACCCGAGATGCCCTTGCGTACTACTCTTATTTAGGAGGCACACGCATAGCCCCTAATAGGATACCTAGGACGAGTCAAGCTTTAATAGCTTCTTTAGGCCCGCTATTACTAGCCAGGCCAAGGTATAAATATTAATTAATATAGGAATAACTACTATACCTGCTAATAATCTCATGTCTCTAGAGATAAGAAGCCAGGGCTCTTATATCTATTACTAGTTCCTGACCGCCCCTAGTAGTATATATTAGTGGATTTCAAGAAGTACCTAGAGAGTAAGAATAAGTATAATATAATAGTAATCTTTATTAACTACCTAGGCAAGCGCCCTATTATAATTCCTGTCCGAGATATAGTAATAGCTAAAGAGTTAGTGCCCTTATTCCTTACTTATATAATTTGCTAAGTTAGTATCCCGGAGACTATAGTATCTAATCGAGGCCCCTAGTTCATATTAGATTTCTGGAGCGAGTTCTATAAGCGTATTAGTATAAAGCTTAAGTTATTAATTACTAATTATCCCTAAACTAATAGCCAGACAAAGATTATTAACTAGTACTTTAACTAATAGCTATGTCCCTATATGAATTATTACTAGGATAATTAGGATAAATGAGTAGTAATAATTAATTACTAGTAGGTAGCTCTGGCCCACGAGACTATAGGCTAATTCCCGTTTCTTATAGAGAAGGGCTACGAACCGCGGATATTATTTGACTGGGAAACCCAAGTATAATTGGGCACCCCGAAGGAAGAGCTAAATAGACAGGAGGCAAAGGCCCTAGTAATATGGCTTTACGAATTATGGTAAAAGGTACAGGAAAACATAATACGAGCGCAAGAATACTATGCTACTTAAGCTAATAAGCACTACCGACTAGTAGACTTTGGAGTAGGAGACAAGGTATGAATTACTACTAAGTACTAGAAGAACGATCGTCCGAGCCACAAGCTGGCTTACTAAATGGAAGGACCATACGAAATCCTGGAATAAGTGGGATATTTCTTTAGGCTCAAGCTTCCGGAATTAATGAGAATATATCCGGTATTTCATACAGAGAAGCTATATAAAGATCCAGGTAACCCTCTTCCCGGACAAGCAAATCCGGAGCCTCCGCTATTAGAACTATAAGACAGGGAAACGGAGTACGAAGTTTAAGAGGTGCAAGTAGTAAAACTGCTTTGTAGGAAGCTAAAGTACCGAGTCTAGTGAAAAGGATAGGACCCAGATCCGGAGTAATATCCTGCTTCCTTATTAAGTAATAGCGCCCTAGCTCTTTAGAGCTTTTATAACAAGAACCCCGAATAGCTAGGACTGCCCCAGAATCTCCCCTATTAGTTGGACTACGCTAAGAACGATATACTACCGGAACCGCGTAATACGGACGGAAATCCTTTAAAGTTACGTGCAAAAGGCCCTGGCCTTTAATATATGACCTGCGACTTGGAAATTCAATAGGGACTTTCGAAGCTCGGGGACGAGCTTACTTTGAGGGGGGGGGTAATATTACGGTTATTACGATATATGGTACTAGTAGGGATTAGACTAGAGCTAGAGAGGTATCTGGTATCTGAGCGAGGCATCTATAGTTACCTAATTATTACACGTGACCCCGAGCTTAAGCTAGCACGTGGGCCCGTGCATAGCTCGCGATTATTTAGATCCGAGGCTTCTTTGGGATTCTCTTCTCTCTTTAGCTTTGAATTATCGAAATAGAGATAGTCTAATCACGCCTTCCAGGCCCTAGATCTTGTGCTCGTAATACCTATTCTATTTCCTTTACTTCTTTTCTTTTTATAGTTAGCCTCTATTTTTATTATTCTTATATATTATACTAGTAACTATATCTTATAACTAACTCGTATTTAAATTACTAGATATATTAGAAATTAATATAAGATACTAAGATTAATACTTATATATCCTTAATATTTTGGCCTTAGGCTTAAGATATTATAATAGCTCTTTTTTCCCCTAACTTACTAAGCTAATAATTCGCCTTATAAATATTCTTTAGAACTTTATAAAAGTATTACCTTAACTATAAAGTTTCTATTTTTCTTATATTACTTATAATAAAATATATAGGAGAGAAACTATAATAAGACAAAAACTTATATAAAGTATACTAGAATATAAAATATAACTTAATAGTAAAATAATAAATTAAAAGTATAAATAGTATATAATATATAAAAGCTTAATTAATTAAATACTTATAAAGAATTATTTTCTAAATCTATAAAAAAACTAGCTTTCTTATATGATTTTCGCAAGTTATATATAAAAGGCCACGGCTTTTATTATATAACCTAAATCTTAAAACCGCTAAAATAATATAATTTTTAATAATTATAGCCTGTTATACTATATTATTCTCTTTATATTACTTATTATAAAATATATAAAAGAGAAACTATAATAAGATAAAAACCTATATAAAGTATATTAGAGTATAAAACATAATTTAATAATAAAATAATAAATTAAAAATATAAATAGTAAAGTATAAATAGTAAAGTATAAATAGTAAAGTATAAATAGTAAAGTATAAATAGTAAAGTATAAATAGTAAAGTATAAATAGTATATAGTATATAAAAACTTAATTAATTAAATACTTATAAAGAATTATTCTCTAAATCTATAGAAAAACTAGCTTTCTTATATAATTTCCGCAAGTTATATATAAAAGGCCGCGGTTTTTATTATATAACCTAAACCTTAAAACCGCTAAAATAATATAATTTTTAATAAGTATAGCCTGCCATATTATACTAGCTATCTTGCTTCCTTAAGTAATACTATAGATTAGTTAAATAAACGAATATATATAGAATTTAATAATATAGTTTAACTAAAATCCTACTTATTTGCCTATAAACTTCCCGTTCCCTTATTACTTGAGGTGAGTTCGCCTCTAATACTTTAATATAGATATAATTATATTTTTTATATAGATATTAGTATTAGAAGTTTGAGTTATTAAGTAGAACTTACTCTAAATTCCTATATAACTAGACGGTGAAATAGGCGCTATACCCGAGTTTACTAACTACCTGATATCTTTTATTAAAAACTTCTTATATAGGGAAAATATAAAATGACTCCTCTCTCCCGGATATTAATTAGGGGCCGAACTAACCTAAAATAAAGGCGCTCGGACAGAAATACCAAAACTTTGGCTTTTTCTTTAATTTAATTCAATTTTATAAAGAATTAATATAATTTAATACTTGTTTTATTTCCTTATAGCACTAATTAAGCGCTATTTAAATATAAACTTTTTATAAAATTTGGATTAGTAATAGCTTTTTAAAATAAAGAAATTAAAAATTATATATTTTATAGCCTAGAAATTTAGCAGATAAGTCCCTAAAACCAAATATAAGAGCCCTATAAGCCCCTAATTTATAGGGCCTTATAGGGTTCAAAAACTAGAATCTAATTAATTAGTATATAAACTCCCTTAAATTAAAGTTCTATTTTAAGGAATTTTTTATTATAAGTTAGCAAGCACGTGATTATAATACTAGGGTTATAATACGCTAGCTTAGACTTATATTTAAAAATATAACTTCAGATTTTTAAAGTGCTTAGGTAGCCAATTACAAGTTTATTAACACCCCTGCCCCAATCGACACCCCTAATCGACACCTGGGGGGGGGCGTCGTTTTACATTTTCCCCATATACGGACCGGATAAAATTTTTCTGGGGTGTACCACTTCAACTCCTCCTCCTCGTATTTCAAGAAACTATCGAGTATATGAGGTCCGGCAAGTCGCTCCAGATTCTGTCTCGCTGGAGATGGCGCCCGGCACGGAAGGTTCTGTGCAAATCTCAAAGCTGAAGCCATGATACGGAAGAATAGTCAGTGGACAATTGAAGTTGAATTGAGAGACAGATGAGAAGAGGGTTAGCACTTTTGATCAGAGGGCATCATGGAAGATGTCTCTCCACGCCTTCTCTCATTCGCAAGTTGTTGGTTTGTTGTTCGTTGCAGGGTTGGGATACCGAGGCTCACAACCCTTGTCGGGCCACATCAACATTGCACATAAAATTATGGCTTCTGTAATTTTATTGGGTGCCCCAGCTGTGGCTTATACGCTAGTAATGTCTCACCAAATACCCTCAAATTCCTAAGCGAGAAGGGGCGCGACCAGGATAAGAACTTTAATTTTTTCTTCTTAAATAAAAATATTTAATTAGAGGGATCCCATGTAATCTAAATTAATAAAAATAGTGAGAAATATATATTCACAAAGTCTAAGCTTTCTAAGTTAGAGCATCGCGATATTTTAATAATAATAAGAGCGAAACTCGGTGTGCGATATGCACAATGTCAATTATCAAGAGCAATGAAATGTCACCCGACGCTAGCTCCACAGATGAACGGCGGTGAAATATTCGCGCGGAACTGTTCCATACAAGGCTGACTGATGATGACAATTCCGACGGAAGCAAACTTACCAATTAACCCTGGTCATCCCACTCGGCAACCTCCCGCATAAAATGCACCTCTCCAGCCTCGCCTTCTCTTCCCTTTTCCTTCATCCATCTTCCTCCCCATCTTCATGAATCTCCCATCCCTCCGTACGACAACCCTTCTCGTCACATTTCTTGTCGTACTTGTTGCAATCATTTTTTCGCCCAGCAAATTCGAGTCCATTGCCGCTGCATCCCGCAGCATTGCACAGAGATTCTATTCCAGGATTTCCACCAATCAACTGACTTCGAAGATGACTTCGATTAAAAGGACTCCTGTTTATTTCCTCAGCCATGGAGGCGTAGGCCCTTTGACCCTTTCCAGCATACTCCAAATACTAACACATTAAAAAGCCAAATATCATGTACGAAACCGATCACCCAGTCTACCCCCAGCTCCAGAAAATCGGCCGAGAAATCACACAAAAAGTGAAACCCAAAGCAGTCGTTGTGTTCTCCGCACATTGGCAAGGAGAAAGAGACGTAATCGAAATCAACACCTTCGAAAACACAGAACTGATATACGAGTATCTCCTCTTTTCCCACCACGCAAGAACCCATGCTTACTCTTGACAGTTTCTACGGCTTCCCAGCAAACTACTACAAAGAAACCTACCCCAACAAAGGCTCCCCAGAAATCGCCCAAAAGGTAATTGACTCCCTCACCGCCGCAGGAATAAAATCTCATGGCATGCGCCGCGGCCTCGACCACGGGGTCTGGGCCAGTTTTAAAGTTGCCTTTAACGAGAAAACCAACCCGCTAAACGTCCCCGTCGTCCAAGTCTCGCTTTTTGACACTGAAGACCCTGCACAGCATATTGCCCTCGGCCGTGCCGTCACTCACCTGCGAGATGAAGGGATTCAGATTATTGTGAGTGGCATGGCGGTCCATAATTTGAGAGATCTCAGGTGGGGACAGCAGGGCGTAAAGCCGTATGCGAAGAGTTTTGATGAAGCGCTGGGGGAGGCGGTTGAGACGGAGAGCGAAGCGGAGAGGGAGGAGAAGCTGGTGCAGTTGCTGAAGAGACCGGACGCCAGGCCAGCACATCCGAGTTTTGAGCATTTGTTGCCGATTCATATTGGAGCTGGAGCAGCGGGGAGCGACAGGGGGAAGAGACTTTGGACGCTGGCGGAGGGTAGTTTTAGTTGGGCACAGTTTAGGTTTGGGGATGCGCCTGAGTGAGGGGTGTTGACAAGTGTTGAGTGAGAATTGAATAAGGGTCACAAGAGCGAAGGAGTCTAGTGACTATGCAAGTATTGATGTTGGTTTTGCACAGGATTTAAGACGCTTGCTGTACCTATGTCCGTTGTGCCTTGCATCAAGTGAATCAAGGCTAGAAGGCAGATCCTGTGCCTCACATGGAGGGGCTTCGCAGTATATAAGCCTTCCCGTGAAAAGAAACTCTTCCCCACATCCAAAATACCTTCACACTCCAGAACCATGTGTGTGTTTGCCTCAATGGATAATGCTTCAAAGACTATCTCCTCCACGATTGTTGCACCAAAGAAGTCTCGACCGCGATAGTAGTCGAAAAATGACTTCGAAGTTCTCGGAGGTTGTCCCCAACCCTTAAAATTACATCTCTATTTGTGTCAATCCAGCACTATAATACACTGGACAAAAGCCTCAACTCAACATCCTTTGCGTTGCAAATTGCAATACCGAATTTCCTGACTACAATAATCCCTGCCCCACCTCCCGCTCTCTCTTTCTCCTCACTCTTCCTTTACTACCATTCTTCAAATCTGCAACCCCAGGACTCATACCTGAAGTCCTCATATCCCCAACAAACAAACGGACTTCCAACCTCTGCTTCCCCACAATATTCTTGTAAATGTACTGTTCAAGTTGTGGAGGCTCAGAAGGCTGCAAGGCGATAATGAATACTTTTGCCCGTCCGGAATTGGGTTAGTCTTCGTCTTAAACTGGTTTGACTTTCGCCTATATAGGACACAGAATCGCAGCCTTGTTCTTGAATGTGAATGGTCAATGCTCCGGATGGTCTGGTACATTTAGTCGAGACCCAAAGTGGAAAATTTCATTGTTCCAGGTTGATTTTGAACATTGAGTGAGATGTCAAGCATATCTAACTCGGCCAAGGGGTGTCCCAGAAACCTCCGAAAATCTGTCTTTGGAGTTCTTAGTTCGCTGTACTTTCTGTCATCACTTTACAAGGCTAGCACCCAGTCTTTGCCTCACCCATGCACTTTCCTGGTACTCCTTTGACACCGCCTCCCCCAAACTTCATTTAAAATACACAAGAAATGCGAGCTCTATTGTGCGACCTTGATCGAATACTTGAGCAGCTGCTTTGTTCCTTCCCTCGCGTCAATCCCTTACAGACTCCAGTAGTAAAATGGGCGTAAACATTTCCGTCTCGCCGTGGAAGACGGTGAAGTCAATCAACATGTGCGGTTCGGAGTCCAAGACACCCCCTCGTCCGTTCAGAGCGTAAGGAAGCCAGGCATGTCCTCCATTCCGAAGCTTGGGCGACAAATTCATCAGCACAATCTCGCCTCGAATATTCTGCACGCAATATATATGCTCAGATAATTTCTCCGTTGGCACAACTTCAGGCTGAGCGCACTTGATTGAGTGAGTGTGGCCCGCGAAGATTATTTCCTACACGGCTGGGAATGCTTCAAATTCGTCTTCCTCCCAGTATCCCGCAGACTCCACGTCTCCAAGGAACAGACGGTCCAAAACTTTTGGATCGGGAGCTTCTTAGATATATTGAATTCCTCTCCGGTCTATCGTTCTCCAGTCCGACATCAACCCCTCTCTCCGTTCCACAGAATAAGCTCTCAGAGCAACCGAAATGCCTTGCACTTTCCCAGCCAGGTTTAATTCAGCTCGCCCCTTCGAAGCCCTTTGTAAAATGATATCGGGGTTCGAGCAAAGGGTGCTCGGAGCTGGTAATGACACCTGCCGAACCCGTCATCTACAGCACCCTGGAGCGTTCATCATTAATCACAAAATCGACATGCTAGTCATCAGCCCCAGCACAGCGATATCCCGCAGGCTGACTTGCATAGGCACGGCTGGCAGATCCGCTGGCCATCGGTCGGCATCACTCGTGGTCAGACCAGAATTGAATCGCATTTGGACAAACATGGCCATCTTGTCCCGTGAAAGATGCCCAACCAGTTTCCGAGCACTCTCTCTCGGCTACCTCTTCATCATACCCGTTAGATATCTCTTTTGCAAACGAGTCACCCAGGTCGATAACCCGTTCAACAAGGAATAGCCTTGAAGCTCCGAGAACATCCCGGGACTCCGTGGGAATGAAGGTATTTGGTATCTCGAAGATCACGCGAAATCGCAACTAGTTGCATGTCTAGATTCGTCGACTGCAACGACCTAGCATTGGGCACCAGATTAATTTGTCACACTTGCGAATACTTTGAGCAGTTGCGATATATTGCTAGACTACTTGGGCTAAGGTGACAAAGAGGGCATGTAGAGCGATTAGGAAGGCCACCCACGCGGCGACCGTACTTGAGTCCATGGCAATTTTCAAGCAAGAGTCCCAGATAGATCTAACTGTATGTAATTGCCCAGACGACCAATTACTAGTTTTGAGATAAATTCTCGAAGACCGTGACAGTATGGAAGGTGGTTCAAGACCCACGAGGCTGAGGCCATCTTAATGCCTGGGGCTGAAGAAGTAGCCGCCACTGGGCAGACTCTGGGAGCCAAGGCAAGAGATCTGAAAACCACCAGAGACCGGACGAATCAGAAAGCCTGATCTGCAGCTATCTACAGTATACATATTTTTACTTGGGCCGAAGAGTGCGACATATAAGAATGAGTAATGCCATATTTAGATCTCACTTGAGAAGCAGCAACATCATTGTGCAAGCCTTGTTTGGTGAAATCAGGCTTCATTCATTCAGCTCTCTCATAGCTTTTCCTTCTACTTTCTCTCAGAGAACCTCTTCCGGCTTTTATAAGTACGCTTTTTAAGTACCAACCACCCAATCACTGCTCCTGCCAGCGTGATCACCAGCAGCAGGAGAGGTGTGTTGTGTTTGTAGAATAACTGTTCCTTCCCATCGGCCAGTCACAGACTCGGTTGGTCTCCTAGGGGGGGTATTGATTCATTCAAGAACTTCTCCACATCATCGATCTCCTCTGGATCGGCCGAGTGTTCGAGTCCCCTGTTCCCTATCAGCCCCAACCCTTTCGTTTTCCTCAAATCGGAAAAGGGAAATAAATACGAAATAGGAAAGACAACTTACCTATACATCTTCAACTCCACCCCAAACCCCATATCTTTCAACTTCCGGGCCGTCGCTTGTCCCCACTCCGGTCTGACCAGGGGATCACTATCTCCATGCCCCATCCAAATCCGCGTCTCCTTATTCCCTCCCTCTGTCGGCAATAAACTCTCCACCTTATTGTACATTAACAGATAACAACTCATTCCAAAAATACCCCCTAGCTTCTCCTTACTCGTGATACCCGAGAATATCGCCATAGCGCCGCCTTGGCTGAAGCCCCCGAGGATTATACGGGAGGAGTGGATGCCGGATTGTATTTCGGAAGAGATGAGCGAGTGGAAATAAGATTGTGAGCGTGTGATGCCGGCTTCATCGGATTGGGCTTGCAGGTCGGAGAAGTTAGTCTGTGATGGGGGGAGGCCGTTAGCTTGCTTGTGCTATCCTTAGCCATCTTCTGGTCAAGTAATTATACAGAGGGAAAATGTGGACGGACGGATGAGCTTCTACGTACGATGTCGTACCAGCCTGGCATTCGCATGCCGCCGTTCTATAACCCTTTCATTAGCCCAATTCTTCCTCTCACTGTAAAAGGGGAAGAAGGGGGGGGGGGGGGGCACGTACGACGGTAATGGGGATTGTAGGCGCATTGGGGAAGATAAACTTCACTTCCTCGAATTTCTGTCGCCGGCGCCAGTTCTCTGCTAATCCGACCCAACCTACCCCGCTATCACCGAGGCCGTGGGCCATGATCACGGTTGCGGTGTGCCGTTTCACGGCGGGGATGATGAGGGCTGTTGGGGGTGGCATTTTGATCTATCGTTTGTGGTGGAAATGGTTGATGAGAAAGCGGGCAAGGGAAGGAGTGGTTTGAAGGATTGAAGTAAAGGGAGTGTTGTGAATCATCAAGTCCGTAGCACAGAGAAGTGGAGGAGAAGTTTGGGTCGAGGTGAAGTGAGGCCTGAAGTCGCAGGGATTCTTATCGGATCTTGTTTACCGATAAGAATTAGTGCGAATTGGAAGACGATTCAGGGTCTTCTGACAACCTGCACACCTCTCCATCACGCGTCGTCATCGAAAGGCCAGATTTTTCTCCTCTCTCCTTCTTCTGCCTCGTCTTCGATTCTTGTACAGTAGTAGCCTCAGTCCTTTTTGCCCTCATTTCATCCACACACTCCTTATCCTCGAAATAAAACAAGGCAATAAGATAAACAAACCCTCTCACCATGGCCTCAGAAGACCGCCCTCCCTCTCCCACCCCAAGCGCATTACCTCCCGTCCCCTCAAGCCCAACCTACTCCTACGCCAGCACCGCAAATCCTCTCTCCCAATACAACCTCCCACCTCCCCCACCTCCCCGTCCGCCCTACTCCGTACTCTCAAAATCCGACCTCGAAGCCTCGCAAACCGCATACTCCGACCTCCTTTCCACAGCCAAAGCATACCGCCTCGCACTCGCCTCTCTCTCTACTGCTGCGTCAACATTCGGCTCGGCGCTCGAGGCATGTGCGCGTTTAAAAGAAGCACGTTCCGAATCCATCGAAAGCCTAGACGGGGGAATGAGCAATTCGTTCATGAGTGGAGGAAAAAGCTCTTGTACAGCGGATAGTTTACTAGCTGCGAGTGGCGTGCACCAACTTATCGCCAACCACCAGCAAATTCTTTCCGAAACCGTATATCGAAGTTTCGAAGTCCCGCTTCTGCATGAGTTGGATGAATGGCGGAGACGAATGGAAGAAGAGGAAATGAGCTACCAGAAATCCGCGAAGACTCTATCGAGAGAGATACGGCGGATGGAGAAAGAAGGGTTGAAGCTACACAAGCAACGGAAGAGAGACGTGGGTAAATTCCGCGAGCATCTTGTTGCGTTGACGGGGAAGCTGGATGCACTCACTGGACTTAGCGGGGGACACAGTAGGGGCTTGTTGAGAGATGGCCAGGGCATGAGTATGGGGATTGTGGAGTGTTGTGCGGGATTGGTGAGGGCGGAAGTTGATATTTTTGAGGCGTTGGCGAGGAAGGGCTGGAGTGGGGGTGGGCTTGATGAACTTCTTGAGAAGGGGAGAGATCTTTTCGCAAACGAAGATGGCTCGGGACATGATCATCCTAATCACGGGGCCAAGATCTTCAGCATACTGCCGCAAAATAGATCGATATTAGCGGGTCCAGATACGGGGGAGGGGCTCGGAGTCAAGCACCAGAGATCAGATAGTCTACTAGTTGATGGAGCGGGAACCCATTACCAGAGCTTAGCAGGCGCGGTGGCAAGAGATACGGATGTCAATTCTTTGTGGTCGGAAAGAGGGAATAGTCATATGAACACGAGCGGGGTATTAAATCGACCCCGAGGGGTTAGGCCTTTTAGTCCGACGCCTGGGGAGAGGGTCAGGGATCCGTTGGAGGATTACACGCCGAATGAGGGTGCGTTGGAGATCCCGAAGAAAGATGGCAGGGGGGAAGGGGAGGCGGTAGATATAGGAGAAGAGTCAGTGAGGACTGTAGTCCCTATCACACCACCAGAAGGCTCAGTCGAAGGAGAGGGACATAAAGATGGCGCAGTGATAGATGATGAGGAAAGTGCGAGTGGTATGAGTGAGAGGCGGGTAAGAGAAAGGGAAAGGAGGTGGAGTGTAACGGATGATGGTCTCGTGTCTGATTAGCGTGCATTGAGATTTGTCACTTATACCCCGATTTGAGTAGGATCAGAAAAGGCGACAAACGCTTAATGCCATTTACATTCTTGGATACTCTGAAAGGCGTTCTTGTTCTGCACTACTCTTGAAAAGAGTTCTTTCCTGTATATGCGTGGCCATGAATGAGTGGTACATCGAAATTCCGAATTCATCATATCTGCTCCTTCGTAACGCCGTGCTGAAAAATCGTATTGCGATCAGGGTATCCTGCTTCCACCATTTCTCTCCATCTTCCATTCTTCACAATTACACACTCCTCTAATCCTCCTTGTCATTGCTGCAAACATCAAACCACCCCGTCATGCTGTCAACCCACCACACCAACTTCCAATACAAGCTCGCCTTCACCCAGTCAAACTCCCCCTGTTCCGTCCGCGGCACCGCACTCCCAATAATGTCCGCGCTCAACCAACTAATAAGTGGGATCTTGCTCATCACTCGCTTTGAGAAGCTTTGCTGGGGAAGTAAAGCCTGTTCGGCTGGGAGAAGTTTCATCCGCTTGGCGGTTGGGATGTATTTGCTGCAAAAGGCTGGCGAGCCCTGGGCTGGGACAGTCGATTCAGAAGAGCGAAATCCGGTGACGGTTGCGGAAGAGGCGGTCCCAGAGGTGTAGGAGAGGGTTGCAGTGTCCAGGGTGTGGGAGGAGCTGTTTGTTGAGTCTGGTGGAGAGAGGGAGTTTGTGCCTCGTCCTATTTCGCGCATCGAGGGGGTGGTGGAGGATCGTGGAAGAGTGGAGGATGAGGGTCCTGGTCGTGCGCCGAGACTTTGTGTTTGTTTGCCATCTACGGGATTAGCTCTATCTGCTGTCGGCGGAACTCCTCGATAGAGCTCGGCGGAGACGATATGTCCTAGGATGGTTTGGGGTGATGCTTCGACTGCTACCTCTGCTGCTTCGGCGGACTCGAAGGTTACTTTGATCCAGTGCTCTTCTCCAGCGAACTTGTAGGCTTTTGCCTTCTCTTCGGCTGTGAGAGGCCTTCTTCGCATTGACGCTGGGTCTCGGAGGTCAGATTTGAAGCGGCGCTGCTCGATTGGGGCATCTCGTGGATAGTCTTCGCAGATTCGTCCACCAATTCTCTCATACTCTCTGATCGCAGCATATTGCTGTGTTGACTTGAACCCTCGTAGTATAACCTCGGTAGGCTCTTTTGGCGGTTCTTTCTTTGCATATCGCGATGAAGTCCCTACGTTCCCATCGATCTGCGCAAGTGGAGCGGCTGATAGATTTGGCTGTGAGATGGATGATATCGACTGCTTTCGTTGAGGCGATTCCGGCTTCTCAGCAGCTTTTTGCGCAAAGAACTGGGAGAAGATAGCATCGGCGGCTGCTAAGGTTGGGTCTTCGCGCTTTGCTGCTGGCGTGCCTGTTCTCGATCTCGAGCGCCTCGTTGATTTCCCGAACGAGCCTGTCTCTGCGACAGCTCTTCGAGGTCTAGCTGCTGCTACTGGGTTTCCATCATTGCTGTTTTCAGAGAAGTCAGGGAAGTCAGGGATGTTGGGCGCCATTGCGCTGGGCTCGAGGCGTACCTGTACAGTCCATAAGGTCTTTGGACCCCATCCTGGCCGATATAAAGCTCATCCTCGGTCACGTTATGAAGGACTAGTGGCGGCATGTCGGCGATCTGTAGTATTCGCGGATGGGCGTGATTGGGTTGCGAAGAGAGGGATGGAATGTTGTGTCTCGAATATTTTCCGTCACTTCGGCCCTTGACGTTCAACACGTCCACATTTACGCGGTTGACCTGAGCAACGGCCGCTTCTTGGCGCCAAGACCTACAGGGGTATCAGCCTCCGCCTAACGTCATAAGAGGTGCTCTATGTCAACGACAGCTGTTCAGCACAATTCCATCAGTCGAATAATAAAGCCACCACAATGTTCAGATTTGTGAGTATAAAGATAATTCACTACAGCCATAGTTGGTCCTATTGTTCAAGAACCATTTGCTAATATTCTGCCCATCAATTTAGCACAAAACAAAGGATGTCATTTCGCTTTTCCACAATGCCAAATCCCCAGCTTCTCTGAGGGTGCATACTCTCCTCAAGCAAATCTCTGCCAATGCCAGCGAGCCGGCAACCGAAGACCAAGCCAGTGACCACACTCCGCAAACCAACCCCAAAAGACAAGAATTCGATCTCGAAGTCACCGAAGCGCCTCCCACCCCAGATCAATTGAAGAGCATCCTCGAGTATGTGGGAGCTCAGAAGGCTAGCACAATCATCAAGGGTGCGAGGGACGAGGCAGATGCGATGAAGAAGCTGAAGGAGAATTCAGAGAACTTCCAGAGACCTATCGTATGCTCCACGGTTCCGGAAGATTCGGACGGGAGGCTAACATTGAATAGACTGTTGATTGGGCGAACGGACGAGTGGTTGCGGGTGCCAATGAGTCGGAGATCTTGAAGATGGTTCAAGATCTGCCGGAGAGTTAGAGAGGAGTTGTATATGATACCAGCATGAGGTCATGAAAAGCGTAAGGCGATGAGATGCTTCGGGTTTGGGATGCCCAAGACACCATCAGCTGCTCATTTGTACTTTTAAATCTTGAAATCACGTCTCAACCATTCAGTCTCATTGTCGTCTCCTTACCGCATTCTTTGGTCTCCCTGACCTGAGCAGCAAATCACAAGAAATTATCCTACTTACAAACTCCCTAGGTCAAGAGACGCAATATACAGAACTTCTACCATGAATTCCACAACCGCTACTTTCGCAATGTACTGGAGGCCTCGACTAAATCTCCTCAGGTGTCATCGACAGAGGGTTCGTCCAACTAGATGCATCTTTGATCCATCCCAAGGTAATTCGATGACCATACCTGCTGTACAGAGAATACGCCAATAATCTCCATTCTTGAACACTTCCAAACGAGGCCAGAATCTCCTATGGCCGCCTTGGAATCGCCCTTATTGTGCCATGCCCATTATACTCCCGAACCTACCAGGAGGGTTACGTACCTTTGTCTCCTTTAAGCCATTGTTTTACAATCGTCACTTCGTAAAGTTTGCAAGCGATTTCGGATGGGTCAGATCAAATTCACTCTGCGGGCTCGCTTTCGAATTACGTCGAGTTCCTCCCATGCCAAAATTTATCTTCCTTCCCTTCCCACCCAACTTCTTCCGCGAACTCGCGCGACTTCCTCTTCCACACAACAACATCCTTCTCCACTCCTTCCTTCGTTACTCGGTCGGGAGGCTTGCTTGCGCATATAGCAAGTGCCGCCACGATGTCCCGTCCGATGCCGTACAATCGCAACCCTGCGCTCCCTCTTACTCCTATCCCCGAATCGTCCCAGGTTCACTACACTCCTCCACCACCGCCTCCTCCTGCGCCAACCCTCCAATCCTCAGGTATGTTCCTTGCTCCATCGAGCAATGACGGAGTTTGTACGTCTCCGCGTCGGACAATCGAATTCTGACTTCTTCAGTGTCGTCTGCGTCCTCCGATGTCATGGCCTACCCAATGGGCTATGTCTGCGGCATGCCAGAGCAGTTCTGGTATACTCCTCCCAACGGAGTCTGTGCCTTCTCGACCCAAAATGGCCACTTTCCGAAGCGGCAACTCCCTCAAGGCGAACAATGGCCGTTGCAAATCATGAGGAGCGACCTTCAGCACGATATACAGAAAAAGGCAAAGACTATCGCAAAGCAGTTTCCCGCACTGGCCAGAGGAATCACACCTATCGATAATTGGTATCACCTTTACAAATATTGGGATGCGGTTGATATCTGGGTAGAGGGCCCGCATTTTTTGTTTTATGTCCTTCAGTGCCTTGGAATGGTGAATAAAGAGCTGGATGAGGAACAACCGCGTGTGATTAATGCGTTCGCCCAAGAATGGGTTGCTGGTAACGAAGAGTAAGTACATGTTCCAGTGCGCCTTGTGCTATGGAGTGAGTGCTCTATTTACACTGACCCTTCGCGCTCTCAATGTCAAGGATCTGTGCTGACACAGACTAGGTTGGTCGTTAACAATCCCCACGCCAAAGACCTCACTGATCTTTTTGATAACTTGGATCGCGGCAACTTGATCAGCATGAGACCAGATGAGGTCAAGTATCTCAACGGCAGACTCGACCATCATCGCCATGTCCTCCTTTGCAGGATTCAGGAGTTCCACCGTCAAGCTGCTATGGAACGTGGTCCAGCTGGAATGATGGGCCCATACCCAGGACCTATGTACCCACCTCCTCATCACAACTTCCCTCCTGGTCCTCCTATGATTGACCCACGCGCTCCTGTTCAATTACTTGGTAAGCTCGTTTAACCGACTACTTGTCTTGTTCCTTGCTGACATGAACATTCAAACAGTTGCGCCTTCAAAGGCAACCACCCAGAATTACCACCAATTTGTTGAGAGCCAGCGCAACCTAGCTTCGAGATTTGGTCCCAGAGTTCCGCCAAACAATATCCGAAATGAGAACATTCGTCCGATGGAAGGCAGACCTCGTGGATGGTCCAATGATACAGCTCGGAACGGGCGTGGTGGACGAGCCAGCGGGCACGGCTGGAACAATCGAAATGGCCGGGCCAACGTCCCTGCCACTCCTCAATCAAAACCCCCCAAGCCAATGAACCAGGTGGGCCCAGCAGAATCAATCTACCTCCTGACACAAAACCCTTCGCCACAGAACCAGCGGGTCTTCTCTGATCCAATCTCTCAGAACCCACGTCCTCAAGTCGGTCAGCGTGCATTCTCTGATTCTCCGGCAGGGTGTGGTACAGTCAATCAAGAGCCTCCCATTGTTGCTACTCCACTTGGTCGTAGAGCTTCAACCAATGATGTTGACTCTCGTCCCAATTATGTCCCGGAGAAGATAGCATCCCCACAAGAATCGCGAGCCGCAAGATCTGGCAATTCAACTCTACGTGTAACTGCACCTATAAGCAACGACGCACGAGTCTTGGAGGCCATGGAGAGGCAAGATGGTTGTGGTTTATTGTTCACTGTCCCCCCTGAACGCCCAGGTCCAATGGTCAATCCTTCTCCTGAACGTCTAGGTCCAATGGTTAGTCCTCCCCCTGAACAACGCCTAGGTCCAATGTTCAATCCTCCACCCGAACAGCGCCCGTACAGTGATATTGAGCTGCAGGAGTCATCAGGAGGTGCCGGGGTTGTCCATACGTATTTCTACACAGGCCCACCTCGAAAATTGGAGATTGCTCAGCAAAACAATCATTCAATCTTCATTGGTGCTTCACCTTACGAGCTCTTCAAGAACCACAAACTTAAGGAGTTCTGTTCTCAATGTGGTGAAGTCGACAATATAACCTTCTTGGTTGAGAAGGGTCATGCCTTTGTTGCGTAAGTCAATATTTCTGTCGCTTGGAGACAATCAGCTGACTTTAAAGATTTGTGGACGAGAACGTAGTGGGGCTCGCGATCCGGAGACTGAACGGAGTGTTCTTTGGCGGCTTTCATTTGACGGTATGCTTCCTTCTCAATCTTCCCACCCCACCTTGGTACAACACTGACCCAAGGTTTCCAGGTCAATCGCCCTAGATCAAGATCTCGTGGAGATAGTTATTCGAGCCAGCGAAGCTACACGTCTAATCGAACTGTCGTTGGTCCCAGAGAACCTGAGCAAGGTCCACCATTCTCTCGTCGGCCATCCTTCCGTGAACCGTACAGCCATATCCGCAACTTTAGCAGAAGTTCCGTCGATGGTCCTCATCATGTTCGCAACCTTAGCAGACAATCGACGGATACTTTCATCTCGCCACCTCAGATCGAAGGCAGATTGATATCCAGTGTATCTGAGGTCATTCAGCATAATGCTGCTCTCAATCGCATGGGACCGCCAATGCCGTTGGAAAGCATCGAGAACCACTACGGCCGCAACCCGCAAAACAAGCTAAACAATGAGTACCGCCACGGCGGCGAGTCCCCCACGCAGACGGTTCAGTACAAAGGAAAGGAGAACTCTCCCATGAAGAGTGAAAAGCCACCAATGACCCCCTCACGCAAGACTTCTTTCAGTTCTCAGGCAGGAGGTCAGGGATCGAAGCGAAAGAACAACAACAAGAGAACTCTTGTCTCTAGACAGAACTCGTAAGTTATACAGCTTTGCCTCATCTCGATATGCTTTTCAGATTACTGACACACTTTATAGGTCCACGTCGGCCCAACCACACCCGACTGGAATCCTTACTGATGCTGTCATTGATAGCACATCCGCTGCTGATATCAAGAAGAATTCCAACCCTACCTCAATGATCTCAACGGATTCCAATATTCAATCTGATGCCTGTGAAGATGTAGCCACCGAAAAGCCAAAGCAGAAGAGCAAGCAGGGGAACAAGAAGAAGAAGAATACCTCCAAGAGCAAGGATGATAATACAATGTCCGCCGGTCCCTCGAGCAACAGCAACCCCTCTTTTGCTATCGAGTCTTCATCAGATGCCTTCGAGGTCAATTCTCCGGTCGGAACTGAGAGCAGCATGACCTTCACATCCAAGAGCACGAATACCTCCTTCAGTGATCTCCCCAGCCGAAAGCCAAGTGCTGTTTCCAGTATTTCAACGCCACCATTGTCTGAAACTCTCGAAGAAGGTGACACCGCCTCTATGAAAGCCATGTCACCAAAGACATCTGATATTGATGAGAAGTCTATTACGCCTAAGCCATCTCAACCCAAATTGCCCTCCTCCAAGACTCCTGATACTGTGATCAAGCAACGGTTGGCATCTGACAAGGCCCACTCGAAGAAGGAGAGTACCGCCTCAACTGCTAATGACGCACCCTCTTCCATGAGAAAGACAGATGTCAAATTGGCCAAGTCAGATGGTGAAGTTGAGAGTCCAGAGGCCAAGATCAACCTTGACGACCAAAAGGAATTCCCTGCCCTCGGACCAGTCAAGTCGCCCGTCTTGTCAATTGCAGATGGAAAACGTCCTGCTGCCCATGCAGATACTCAGAGACCACCAGTAATTGGGTCGTTCAGCGAACGAGTTGTCTCTGGCTCTGGCATGAATCAGGCTAAGCCTGCTGTACCTGTCGTGGCTGTCCCGCGTTCTTACATGCAGCGTCAGGCCCCTCAGCCGTAAGTCGTAAGAAACCCTCAGCTTCCTGCTACTTTGAGTTCAAGGTAATGACAAAATACAGCGTTCTGAGGAGGTCCGAGAGGGAAATTGATTGGAGCGGGTTGACACAACATGGCTTGGGAAGCAGAACGTGGCCCTTTACAAAGAGGGTTAGGCGGTTATAGCGATATTTAAGCTGCATCTCTGAGCCATGGAGATGCGGAATTCGAAGAGATCGTGCAATTGGTTCCTTGAGACAGAGGATATTTTATGGTGGATAATGATACTGACCGAAGAAGCCGAGAGAGATCAAGGTCTTGTGGTGGAGGTCCATTCTTCCTTACGTGGTTGAGGGATGCTGAGACGAGCAATGATACCCATTAATTTTACCTCAGCTTGCTGTGATGGCCAATGCAGTGAGCTGAAGCTTTCATTCCCTTACTGCAAGGATAGCATAGATCAAACAGTTGCTCGTCTCTGGAGATTCCGAGGCCAGTGTCTGAGTCCAGCAAGTGCTTCTTGATTATTGACATCTTGTTAAAAGAGCGTAGACATTGGGCTTGGCTTCTTCGTCGTTTTGAGATGGAACAAGCCTTCTCTGGAAGTCTCCAAAATATGTAGGATGTCGTCGGGCAATCACTTGGTTGGTTGCGTAATTGCCAGCGAGGGTTACGACTATCATGCTCACCCCTTCTCCCTTGACTCTCAACCCACTCTTCAACACATCTCTACCAACCTTGAAACATAACTCTCTCCCATACTTAAACCGCAGTCCCCTTCACCTACCCGATCCCCCTCCCACAAGGGCCTGTCCCTCTAAATCGGGTCCCCCTCAAACTTGACTCGAGGACATCAACTCACAAGTGATCTTCCCGCACCAATCAACCCTGCTCGAAGCCGAAGGGTTTGCTCCATTTTGAGCTCGCCGTGGAATTCTGGTATCGAGCTGGTTGATAGAGGCGAAAGCGGTGAATCCCGACGGGATGCCCAAATCAAAACGATTAGACGTTTCTGAATATGCGAGGCAGATGGCGCCAATCGCGGTGGTCAACAGGAAGTGATGCAGCGGCCTTCTACCAAACGAACTGGAAGAGTGTTATTGGCCATGACTCTCAATCGTGGATGCAGAAACGGGTTGTTTTGGTGAAGCACTGAAGTGGAATAGTTGTTTCTTCCACAGAGAAGCAGAATTGCACGTCTGCAGGGGGGGGGATTAGAAAACGTACCAAGAACCTGATTTGATGGAGTGGGTGTGGTGCTTTCATGCAAGAAAGAGCTCGTGAAGTTAATTGCGATGTGTGGACGTCTTTGAGTGGAAATGGGCAGTCTTGCGCCTGCAACATTGTTTCTGGTGGCTTTGTTTTGATGGTTCCTGTTTAGGCGAGCTGAAAAGGGGTGGGCGTGTCACGTGATAAGTATACTCGAGGGCTCTTTGTTATCTCTGAAGGAGCTTGCGAGAATTTCTACGAGATTACAGGATGTATCCGACCCTTTCGAGGGTGTTCTAGAATTTTTTGTTGCAGCCAATTTCCATCCATGCCTCATTCTGACCAGCAACTGACTGGCCATCCCCTACTTGTGCACCAAGCCACTCACATTATCTCCTTGAGAAAATAATCATGACTAGAAGAACGGATATCCACTCTTTCTTACACGCGACCACGTTGTTGACAGAACTACTGTTCGTGGTGTGGATATGGAGATCGTTTTTAGCGGATGATAGGTTCTTCTTGCTTCTTCCAATTCTCGATCTTATTATGGATTTAATATCTCTGCCATTTCGATGCGCACTCGGCAAGTTGGATATGATCCGGATCTGCAAAGCTGAGTAGAGGAAAATTCGGGGCCGAGAAAAGGAGGCGAAGACGTGGATGTATTTGGTACGCTTTACGCAAGTTTGCCCAGGGTGTGAGGCGACGGTTTCAAAAGTTGATGGTTGTGATCAAATGACTTGTGAGTTTCCTCGAGCTTTTGTGTGGTGACTATTGACGGTGTTTGTACAGGTCATTATGGTCAGGAATTTACGTGGTCGAAGGGTCATGTTTATTGAAGAGATTTGGGGAGAAGGCGCCAGTCAGGGGCTGCTTCCTGCTGGCTGTTACGGGGTTGGAAAAGGTCGGGCCTTTGGTTCCCAATTTGAGCAGAATAGAAGGTAATTTGTTTTGTTAAGGAGAGGAGAAGGGGGACACTGCAAGGTATGATCTGGGATGGGGTTTGCTTCCAGCTCCTGGGCAGTTTCCGCAAAATTCTACTGAGAAAGCTGCGTGGACTTTGGGGCTTCCTTCCCCGTTTGGGAGAGTTGAAGAAGCACATCCTCACCTTAAAATTCGACGTTCAGAATTTCCAAGACGGTGGGATATTGGTCGTCTAAACTTCAAGATGGCGTCCAAAGACTTCAAGCTCCGAGACGAGAGGTCCCGTCTGAAGGCACAAGAGAACTCGACAAGATCTCGCAATCCTTCACCACAAATTCTCCTCGAATCACCAATAGTTCAACAACTCCGGTTAACTATTTCCTTCCTCACTAGAGAAATAGCACTCTCAATCTTCGAGAGACTTCATATCCGATCTCAACCAGGCTGTTCCAGACTCGTTCGACGACCTTCAGCTCCACCCCCTCTCAAAAGCTCCCAGAACCTCCAAACGCCGACATTACCCTCTTTTTCAACTTCACCTCCTGGATGTAACCAATCTTTTGGAACAACAGCATCACCTTCTTGGAAGGAGATTGTTGCAGCTCGTCTTCTGCCTGGATTCGGTTACCATTTCCTGACACTCATTTTATCACTCATCCTTGGAGAGGACACATTCACTCAATATTCTTCTTCCCAGCACATACCTTTGAGTGTTCGTCCATTGATACCTCTTCATCGTATAATTTCCAAGCCTAGGCTAGCTGACTTTTGCAATAGTTACGTCGGTGGAATGCTCCCTTTGTCTTCATTCGAACATTCGTCATGGCTCCCCAGGTAAAGCGTTTTCCAGGGCTTCCCAAACAAATATTTGGAATAAAATGCGTTCAACATCGAGTCTATAAAATGAGTACGGTTCTAAAATACTACAAAAAGCAATTCCACCCAAGAGCGACCAAATACCAACTTCTCAGACTCTTTGTCAAGCTTGAAGCTGAAATCACTGATGCAGAAGGTGCGGCTATTCGTCAATGGTTGCCCGAATACTCCACATACGACCGTGTCGAACACCTTATGAGCCAGCTCAACAACGTCAGAGGAATACTTCCCAAACTTGATTGCTGTGTTTGCATGGACTCCTTGGATGCCGAACTATTCCCACAACAGAAGATCACTCCACTTTGCAATCATGAACCGACAGTCTGCCGAAGCTGCCTTACGAAAACCATAGACACCCAGGTCCCAGAGGTCGCTTGGGACCAAGTCCAATGCCCCGAGTGTTCAGAGACACTGCCGTATGATGTGGTGAAGGAATGGGCTTCGCTAGAAGCTTTCGAGAGGTACAAGACGCCCCTGCTTCAGAATCAAAGTTGCAGGCATTGAGGTTAACTTCATTTGACAGATACGATCAGAAATCCCTCCTTGCTGCGTTCCGTGATATGCCAAACTTCGCCATGTGCCTTGGCCCCCGCTGCGACTCTGGACAGATTCATGAGACAGGTGATGCTCAACCCATCATGACCTGCACCACATGTCACTTCAAGACGTGCTTCACCCACAAGATGCCGTGGCACTCTGGCCAAACTTGTGCTGAATATGATGCTTATCGCCAGGAAAGAATGGACCAAGAAGCAGCGTCTGAAAAATTGATAGCAAGCACCACCAAGAAATGCCCCAACCCAAGATGTGGACATGGCATTGAGAAGAGCGGAGGTTGTGATCACATGACTTGTAAGTTGCTCATTGAACCTTCGAAATGTGATACAATGCTTATTCGGCTCAATCAGGTAAGCAATGCAGGTACCAATTTTGCTACGTCTGCTTGGCTGCCTGGAAGGTGATTATGCGGGAGGGCAATACCGCTCATGCACAAGAATGCAAATACCACAGCGATCGGCTCAATGCTGGTCCCCCACCCGTCATCGCCATACTTGACGAAGACGAAGAGGAAACCGAGGACGAGAATGGTGAGAGTGATGAAGAGGGTGGTGGTGACAGCGATGATGACAGTGATTCGAGCGAAGACGAGAGTAGGGAGGAAACTGTAGAACAACAATGGGAGAGGCGAGCATGGTCCTTGTGAATGTGAGCAGACACTGAGGTCCCGATTGATTACCACACACTTGGGTTTCAGACTTTGGCGATTTGATCTTGGGATATTCGATAGAGGTTGATGAAACACGAAAGATTGAGAGAGTTTGGGGAGGACCATATTGGGCTATTTATTCAAGGGCAATTGGTGATGATGATGGTGGTGATGATGCAGGATGGGTCATTCTTTATCTACATTACGGGGCTAGTTCAAGGCATGGAAAAGTTTCAGTTTCTGAATCGAAGGCAGGCACAGCAGAAAAAGCACACTTGTACAATATCGAGCAGTTTCAAAAAGAACATCAAAATTGATTTGATTATGGGCTTGGCAATGACATCAAAAAGCTTGCTGCTTAGGTGGTTTGGAAGTTGATTTGACGAGACACTCCATTGCTCGTCTGTCTATGCTTTTGACCTCGAAGATATGTCTGGACTCTCATGCCTCCAATTAAGGCCTTCCTCCGGCAGGAGCCTCTTCCCCGTCCGCGATGAAGATTTAATGGTAAATGATGTCCATTGCGGTATATTAAAGTTGAGTCGTGATTGAGGTCACAGCAGCGTTCCAGTCAAATGGGTGTCCACAAAAGCCTGCGAGAACACATTAGAATAAATTCGAAACACAATTTAGGAGTTACGCACAAGTGACAAAGCCGCAACCAGCGACTTTGGTGATCGGTCGAGAACACTTTAGGCACCGAGCTGATGTTTGCTTTATAGTTTTCTCCAAGGCTGCAAGCTGCTGTTTCTGTTCCGCGTCCGGTTGCTCGTTGAACTCTTTGCAAGTTTGTCCCTCGTGCCAAGGTCGCTGGTGCGTGAAACAGGCCAGGGACGAGCATTTCTCGAAAGTGATTTTGGGCTCAGCTTGTCCGCTGTCATGAATGTGTCCCCAGTCACATTTAGGGTTGGCGCACCAGCGGAAGTTGGGTTCATTGCGAATGGGTTGTAACTCCCAAAGGGTATCGAATCTATTGGGGAAATTAGCAAAAAGACATTTTCACTGTTTCAGGGGGTTGGTACTTTTCCGCGACCGCGGCGGGTTTGACATACGGCCTAACAACATCGGCAGAAAGTTGACGTCCATCCAGTGGGCAACTGAATTTGTCCCATTGGATAGTTGAAATCTGAGCAATAATTGATTTGTTGACACAGGTCATGCAAATAAGCTATTGCCTAGAGACACAGCTCGGGTGCAGATCTCCTTCTAGGAAGTCTTGGGTAGGCTTTTTGCTGTAGCAGATGTTGCAAAACTTGCCTTTGCTTTCATCGGACTCTCCTTGCCCTCCTAGTCGTCGTCATCAGCAACGTTTGCAGGCCCATCATATTCACGAACTGGATGTGATCGCGGCCCGTGTCGCCTCAACCTTATCCTTAAGAAGCTGCGAGATCGTTCTTCTGTCTTGCTTGCTGACTTTGTCCTCCATACAAATAACCTGTTCAAGAAGGCCTCTTCTCAGCTCCTGTGCTTTCAGCTTGTGTCCATAGCTGGTGAGGATGCTTTGAAGGATCTTGACAGCGAGCTTTGTTGGCTTTTGGCCGAATACTGTCGCGCTCGGTGGGGACTTCGTCTCTTTCGGCGTAGACATGCTGGGTGACAGGGCTTTGGATTCTCTTTTGTCGTTGTTCGTTGCCTTTGGGTTGCAGGTATCGAGTGACCGAAATGACTTGGAGGCTCTGGGTTGAGGAAGGTGCGCTGTGTTGATGGATACCTTCGGTTTGAGGTTGTTAGGTAAGGAAGAGAAAGACTCGACAGAACTAAAATCAAGTGTATATAGGCATAGGTGGGATCTGTGCGACACGAGAGAAATTTCTGGAGGAGCTCAGTCTCACCTCGTCTTGCCCCTGAGTCACGGGATTTAAGCGATTCGCTAAAATGTCACGCCTCTTTGACCCCTATCCTCCTCCAGCTTCCACATGAAATTGTTTAACATGATTATTGGATCAAATGCGATACAATTTTCCCTAACTTCAAGGATCAGCCGTGTCTTCGTGGTAATTCTAAGTGCCTTTCTTTGTCTGTTTCGCTTTCACAGCACCGATTCTGCATGGACGCATTTACATGTAGCAAAGAGCATTCCTGTTCGAGATCAGCTAAGCTGCTCGACTCTTTCTTTTTGTGTCTCATTAGAGAGTTCATATTTTGGGAACGAAGACCTATAGCCTGATAAATTGGTAGGCAAGGAAAATTTCTGCGCCGCCGGAAATCATGGTACTTCCATGTCAGGACAATTTTCTGCCCCCGGAAGTAGACATGCATCCAATAGGGTCGTTAAGCGCGACCTCTGACTACGCCGCAGAAGTTACTTTATGCAACGTTTCAAAAATGGCGTGCGGCGTGACGGGTATTCGGGTCCACGCCAAGCCAACGGCCACGGCGCCACTTCCGCTGTTGCAAGCTTTATTCCATCCTCAACACTTCCACGTTTCTTCTCTTACAAAGCCGAAAAGATCTGTATTCTTTAAGTTATTGCACTTCTATATAGTCAGCTACACAATGCTCTATTCTTTCCTCGGTCATTTTAACAAATTCATTTCCGATGTCAGATGATAGGGAGCGAGACCGGGTCAAGAGGCTCCACCATACTGTATCACGATGCAGTGAGAGACCCCACAAATTCACAACTCTACGACAGGCTTCGAATCCTTTGCCAGGCTTGAAGGGTTGCCAAACGGTTGGAGTTCCCAATTACTTCTCCACATCGGCCTCATGTTTTGACTCTTGGGTAGGAGCTGGCATTTATGCTGTCCCGCCGAGCTACTCCTCTCGCACCAGCTTTCAACGGCACAGTCTACCCCTTATTTTCACTAGCGATGTACTTTCGCGCGGTCAAACCTGTCAGTCATATCGATCAAATAGGCTACCACTTCATTGGTGTCAGATCACTCGGGGTATCTCAGTACGAAGTTGCATAAGAGCCTTCTCCCCTTCTCTGCCCAGCGCCCTTGTGCGAACCTTCCAACACTTCATGTTGGCCTCAAACACCTCTATTATTCTATCATTGACCCACTCTTCCTAGCCGCCAAAATGGTCGTTGGACACATCTACATAATCGTGGCTGTAGATGTCGTCGGTGGTGGCCTCCCCGGCTTCGACACCTCCTCGATGTCCACCTAATTTGGAGAGAACGCCTATAAATGCTATTTCAACCAAGGACCCGAAGGCCCCCTCTTCAACAGCAATCTCAATTGTAGCGGACCCAGATCGCTCGTTGTATCACGGCATCCATGGCTGGAGGATCCTGGCTTGGCGCTTTGATTTCCGGGATCTTGTCTGATCGTCTTGGAAGGAGGACGTCTATCATGGTGGGATGTCTTATTTGGTGAGTGGAAGGGATAACTTCGCTGGGAGGGTGAGAGGTTAATGCAGGAAAGGGCCATCGGACCTATCCTCGTCTGCGCCTCGCAGAATATCGGTCGGCATGCTCATCGAGGGACGTATCGTCAACGGTCTCGTTGGTATCGAGTCAGCTCAGGTCTCAGTCTACGTCCCCGAGCTGGCACCACCATCGAAACGAAGTCGCTTTGTAGGAGCTCAGCAATGGCCTATTTACGTGGGAATTCATGATTATGTCTAGTGAGTCCTCCCCGTCTTTCAGCACCGCGAAAGTGGCGTTGTAATTCCGATATAGGCCCAAATTCCCAGCCTCTAATACTGCTGCTCCTTCATCGGCGGCCAATACTCCAACTACTACAACACAGCCGACTTTCGCGTCCCATGGGGCAACCAGATAATCCCCACTATCGAGCTCTTCTTCACCATGACCTTCCTTCCGAGTCACCTCGCTGGCTCGCCCGCAAGGACCGCTGGGAAGAATGCCACTCCATGCTCAGTCTCGTCCACGGAAAATGGAATCCGCGCAGTCCATTTGTAACGCTTGAGCTCGAAGACATCGGGAACATGTGCGAGTTCGATCGGGCCAATAAAGACGTCACATATTTAGGTCCGTTCAAACCTGCCATGCCGAACCGAACTACCATTGCTGTCTTCACGTAGGTGTTGGGCAAGAAACATTTCCTATTTCGAACTGTTTCATGATTTCCTCCTGACACAATGCCCTCTTCCGAAACATTCTAGATCGAGCCATTACTAAATCCCCCTTTAAGGCAAATCCGGAGTCAACTCACGGGAATGAATGTGATGAGTATGTTCTACCCCTGCCCTCTTTGTTTGATGGGAAGCTGATAATGGTGAAGTGTATTATATCTGTGTTTGGAATGGCTGGCTACTCAGGCAACGCCAACCTCTTCGCCTCCTCCATACGTTACGTAATAAACGTCGTGATCATCCCAGCACTAATCTACGTGACCGACGGGGACGACGACGCACCCTGCTTATCGGCGCTGCACTCATGGGTACCTGGATGTTCGCCAACGCAGGTATTCTTGGAGGCCAAGGCGTCGTTGTCCCCGGCGGCGTTGACGCCATCGCTCAGGAATCGATGAGGCTCACTGGCGCTGCGGCAAAGGACTCATTGCTTGCATATACCTGTTCGTTGCATCGTATGCCCCCACGCGGAGACCGGTGTCTTGAATCTACCCGCCTTAGCTCTTCCCACTTCGTCTGAGAGGAAAAGGAGTTGCTCTCGCGACTTCGAGTAACTGGGCGTTCAACCTCGCTCTCGGACTCTTCACCTCTCCCACCGTCGTAAACATAAAGTGGAACGTGTATCTCATATTCGGTATCTTCAATGTAGCAATGTTCATCCATGTTTTCTTTCTGTTCCCTGAGACCTCTGGCAAGACGCCGGAGGAGACGGAGAATATGTTTGAGGATCCGAATGGGCCGAGGCATACTGGGACGTTGGCATGGAAGACGAGGCTTGATCGCCATGCGTCGATGTTGGGGCATGGGCAGGTGGCTATGGAGGGGAAGGCGGGCGTGAGACATGTGGAGGGTGCTGAGAAGACTTCTAGCGGGGATGCGCAGATGGCGTCGGAGAGTGATGCTGCTACTCCTACTTAGGAGTGAGGTGGTAGTGGATGGGGTTTCCCATGTCTAGGCGTGAAGAGGAATGAGAAATGAGGGGTTGGAATCGTCAGAAGTCGAGCTTTGCTGGCATCTGTCGGGCAGGCCATTGGGTCTTCCCCTGTCTCAGTCAATAGAGATCTGTATCAAGGAATATCGATAGAATAATTCCAAAACGAAGCTCGAAAGTAAGACCGTAGCAATGGCCGCTCAGACCTATTCAACTGCTGAGTGCCAGACTCAAGATGGCACTTGCCACCAAACAAAACTTCTTCGACGGTCGACTTGGATGGCATTCAAGAGAAGACAAAGCAGAAGTGGCAGAAATATAAAGGCAACGCACGCCATAGATGACAGCAATGCGACACTAGAGACGGGGTGGAGAGATGAAGTGTAACACCTGGACTGAATTGTGATTCAGCCCTTGCCGTGCGGCGTAAGTACGAATCAGAGCTATTGCAGGTAGGAGGGTCGAAGTAGTTGATGGTTCATGCTTTGATTCAGTTGTGATTACTTACTCTGCCATCCTGTGATTTCTTTCTCCAGCTTCTCCCATGCCTCCCTCGCTCTTCGAGCATGTTCCTTTGGGACTTCACCCCCAGGTTCGTTCATCGTTCTCGAGAACAGCTCCATACTCACCCACCCCTTATACCCAAGCCCCTGAATAATGGCCTTCGTCACATCCAGCACAGGCAAATACCCACCCTCCTCAAAAGCAAATAACCTCGCATTCCTTGACCAACTCATTCTCGCCGGTTGGTCCTTAGCATAAAACGCATGCCCTTCAACCAACGGACTCCGCATCTTTTCCGCATCGACAACTTGAATATAAAAGACCTTCTTAATATCTACCCTCTTAACCATCTCCTCCAGACTCCTCTTCATATCTTCCTCCGCGTTCGGTGTTTTCCCATCGGCAGCAGCAGGATCAGCATAAACTCGCCCAGCAATATTAAACGTATCTAGACACATGCCGAAATTCGGACGGTCAACCCGTTCAACGAGATCCCAAGCCTTCTCCCAAGTATCGAAAAATGTACTCCAGCAAAGATTCTCGTAGGCAAACTTGATAATCGGCCTTTCTTCAAGTCCCATGTCCGCCACTTCCTTCAGATCTTGGATGACGACGTCCAAGTCTCCGGTGATTTGGTCCGTCCCTAAGAAATTCCCAGGGATTTGTATAACATCCGTCCCCAACACCTTCGCAATCTTAAACCAGAGCTCCAACTTCTTAATCCTAGCCGTGTGTTCCTCTCTATCCAGAAGGCCCTCGTAATGCATGAATGGCTGGAGGCCGATAATCGAGAGACTCCGTTCGTCGCAGAGAGTGCGGATAGTTTGTGCGGCGCGGAGTTGTGCTTCGGGGGAAGGGGTGGCAGAAGTAGCCAGGTTGGATTCGGCGCGTGCGAGGTATTCGAGGTCTTCGAAGAAGATTTCGATGCCGGTGAAGTTGTTAGCGACTGCCTGGTCGAGCTTGTAGGGCAGCTGGTGCACCCAGGCACGCCCGAGGGACATGGAGGCTATTGCTGGTTTGTAGGACATTGTTGTGGTGTTTCTCTGGGATCAATTTGACTTTTGAAGATCTGCGGAAAGGAAATCGAGATGGATGAAGTGTGTGAAGAGAAGAAGCTCCACGGAAGAGGGAGAGTGCGTACCGCGGCCGTCCCCGCACTCGCGGATCCCTATACCCACCAATGACGCATCTCGGTCCATCTCTACCTATACTGGGCGAGGAGAGCGCCAATTGTGGCATATCTTGACGCCGTTGAAAAATGATGTTGCAGTTGGATAAGGATTCAAGAGGTGGCGGCAAAACTTTTTGGCTGTCTCGGCAAATAAATTCAAGCGACGCCACCCCCTTTCTTTCGACCCCACGTTTAACAGAGGGGCAAAATTTATAATCAACGTTTGCGCATCAATTTGAAATCTTCATCGTCTGATGTTGGTCTGTTTTGATTTCCACTAGTGTAGATTTTGCTTCTTGATCGTTTAGACTTGATGCATTACCGTGCCTGCAAGTAATGAAGTTGAAAACAAGCGCATACTTTCTCCATTTCGGTACTCACATGCGCCACTCAGACGAGTCTGTGCAATAGTTGTTTAATGATTTGAATTGATTTCAGCTGAGCCATGTTATGCCAGTGTTAAGTCTATCTCACGTATTTGTTTTACTCTCTTTGACTATCACCTGGGCCAAACAAATGGGCGCGCCCCACCCCCCAAAGGTGTTGTCCTAGACCCATATTTGGAACCCATCTTCTACATTGAACTGCATATATTGTGTTCCGAGCACCATACTAATGTCCTTTAACGTTCGATACGGCTCCCCAACTCAAATTGCTAAGGATTCTTTAGTCCCCTTCAAAACAAGTCTCTTAACCTCTCCCGTGCCCCCGATCAGGAGTTGGGCGAGAGACGTAGGATCTTTGGTCATTCCATTGTCCCTGTGTGCCTGACCCCAGACCTTCCGTTGCTTTCCTTAGTCATCAGTAATATGCGAGAAGTCAAGCATAACATGCACAAGATTTGACTTGCAGGTAATCTTCTGAGCCCGAAAGCGAAGCGGCGCAACAAGTCGTATGTTTTCTGTCTTAACAGCTCGCGCATCGGCCGCTTGTTAAATTCTTGTTCGTTATCGTAGAAGATCCCAGGGGAGAGGCGTTCATAGATCTTCAATGCTTTGTTGTGAAGCTCACGCTCTATGTTTGTGGTGGAGTTCGTTACGAGAAGGGGTGTGCCGGGGTAATCATTCTCGATGTCAGAATTCTCGAATGCAGTCTTTGATCTCAGGTTCGAAGATAGTAAGGCGTACTTCGGGAGGGAGATCTTCGATGGATGTGCTCGAGCTGCCTCCATTGTTGGGTCCATTGCGGGTAGCGAGGTTGAGTCGACATTGAAGATTGGAGAAGGTAATGAAAAGGTTGTGTAAGCGCGGATTTTTGGTCATGGTGAGTTTTGAATATGTTTCGAACATGTTCTTTTGAACGAAAATGAAGATTGCATCCCTCTGTTCATCTATTTAAAATACTAACAAAGAAGAATTGCTGATCCCTTTCTAAATGTTCTATTGCCGTTCCTGTGCCACGCGGCATATTCCTCGTTCCAATCAATCAGGACTAGAAAAGCAGATTTGCTGCTGTATTCATCGTCATCTGTATGGTATTGTGCTATGTTATTGTTCTGTTCCACGTTGTTCAGCGTCACGCAATCTTCCCCAGAAGTTATTGAAGGAGTCCTCAAATTTCTTTTCAACCTCTTCGACATCTGTTCGAATCACCAATGTCAGAGACGGGACAATCATCTTTCGCCTGTCTACGAATACTAACTTTGTATTCATTCACCAAAAAGAGAAAACCCTACCTATCCCCCGTTTTTAATATTCAACAACAAGAGAGTATGATTCAAGACCAATTCACTTGGAAGGTTCTCGTGCTCATCGGTCGACTATTTAAAGCCCCTTTCTCCCACTGATCCTCCCATCTTTTCCTTCCAACCACCCTTCAACAACGAACTTCACAAAATGCCCTAAAATACATACCCCAGTCACTAGGAGCTGCAAGCGACCAGCAATATAAATCCATCCATCTAAGCCAGACGACTAAGACGGAAGTTACGATGTACCAGATTCCCAACTCCTCATCAAATTCACCCGTCGACTCAGACAGCTCTCCTTCCTTCTCTCACACCGCAACACCCTCTCCCGATCTCTCCAAGGAACAACAACAGATCATGCCTCCAGACAACTCACCCTCGAACCCCAAGCTCTCAGACACCTCCCACCTGAGCGGCATTGCCTACCTCTTCGGTCACCCAATCACACACTCGCTCTCCCCTCTCCTCCACCAAACAGTATACCACCAGCTCGATCTGAAGTACTCCCAAATCCCGCTCGATTCCGTCTCCATACCCACCTTCCTCTCCTTAACCAAGGACCCGAAATTCTACGGCGCGAGTGTGACGATGCCGCATAAAATCGCAATAATACCTTACCTGTCCTCCCTCACACTAGAATGCGAAGCCATCGGGGCATGCAACACCGCCTTTCTCTCCGCCCCCCAGAAAGATGGAAAGCGTATGCTGTGTGGTGCGAATACAGACTGTTACGGTGTGCGTGATGCCTTTCTACACAACGTGGAAGGTGGGAACATATTTAAGGGAAAGCCAGGAATGGTGATTGGTGCGGGTGGAAGTTGCAGGGCTGCTGTTTACGCTTTGGTTGAATGGCTGGGCTGCTCCCCTATTTACATCGTCAACCGCAGTGCTACGAATGCAGAGGCTGTGCTCGCAGACTGCAGGAGAGGCGGGTTCGGAGAGGATCTGGTGCATGTCAAGACTGCAGAGCAAGCCAAGGAATTAACTTCTCCAGGAGCAATTGTATCTTGTGTTCCTAATAAAAGTCCAGGGACGGAGGAAGAAAGGGAGGTTAGGGGCGTGATTGACACATTTCTGAGGAAAGAGGACAAAGGCGTGCTGCTGGAAATGTGCTACCATCCTAGCCCGTACACTGAGATTGGGGAGTTGGCGGAAACAGAGGGTTGGCAGGTTATATTGGGGACTGAGGCGATGATATATCAGGGGCTAGAGCAGGATTGTATTTGGACTGGGCGTAAGATGGAGGAGTTACCTTTGGAAGAGGTTAAGGGTGCTATTGCTGCTGCTCTGTCGGAGAGGCAAAGACAAGATAAGCAGCAATAGAAAGGGCGGGAATCAATTACAGAGAACCTGCGTGGCATACATATGCAAAAAAAATACTTTTTCTCTCCTCTCCAAAGCTGAGTGTCCCAGGTATATCAGAGCTTCGCCTTATCCTTCAAATGCTCTAAACAATACTCAATAGCAGTCTTATATCCAAACGTGCCCAACCCACAAATAACAGCAACAGCCTTGTCACTCAACCAGCTCTTATTCCTCCACTCCTCCCGGGCATGGATATTGCTAACATGCACCTCCACAAACGGAATTGATACCGCAAGCAAAGCGTCCCGCAACGCAATGCTATAATGCGTGAAAGCCGCAGGGTTTATAACGATGGCATCGATTCCTTCCGTTCGTGCTGCTTGGATCCGATCCACGAGCGCTCCTTCGTGGTTCGTTTGGAAGAAGGAGAGCGTGGCTCCCGAGGATTCTGCTTGCGCGACGGCGCGAGACTCAATGTCGGAAAGAGTTTCGCTGCCGTAGATCTGTGGCTCGCGGGTGCCGAGGAGGTTGAGGTTGGGGCCGTTGAGGAGGAGGATTTTCTTTGCTGGCATGGCTGCTGGTTTGGGAGTTGAAGAGATCGAGATGCGGGGTACTCCTGCAGTAGGTATATGTGGCTCAATCGAATCGTTCTGCCGTCTTTGAGATGGATAGATATACGTTGAATGTTTGTTAAATCTGTCAGAGATTCAAACCTCCCACTTCTGCAGCGGAGTTACATCGTCGTTTGCTGCCAATGCTGGTGTTCTCCGGATCGTCGTGGCGGGGTTGACGTTGGAGGGGAAACTTTTGTGGGTCCGGGTGAAGTCTTTCGCGATGGTGGCATTGCTTGTCAATCTTCTCTCGCGTCAGCTCCCAAATCAGAGAGTCATGCTTGTATTGGACAAGGTCCATCAATCTCCATTGTTTGTCAGATGGAGCTGTGTTTAAGATCAGTCACCGAAAATGCTTCGATTGAGTCAGTTGACTGTCGTGGCGAACGTGAGCAAAGTTAGCAGCTTTGCTCACGCATTCTTGACGCGCCGACTTCAGGAATCCTTCTAGATTGGTTACAAACGTGTTATTATAATCTTCTTTAACGCGCCATTAAAAAAATCTTTCCTTATGCCTTCAATCTAGAAGTTAATCGCCGTGCTCTCCTCTGCCCCCTTCCTCAAAATCTCCCACGCCTTCTGCTTCGGCACCTCTTTCCTCTCCTCTTCCCCAGCACCAGCCCACAACTTCCACTGCTCCTCAATCTGATGGGCAATCACACCCGTCCCATCAACCGTCTTCCACCCCTTCTCCCTCCCCATCCTCAGAATCCGCGTATTCCGCGGTTTATAACACATATCCAGCAGCACGCCCTTTTCCTCCTTCCCCAAAAGGCCCTCAATTATCCTTCTCGCCGTGATCTCCTCTTCCGTCTTCGCTTCAAAGTCCGGCACCGTCCCAACGATATAATACGGCGCCTGCAATCCCTCTACCTCCTCCACAGCCGTAACATGACGGACTTTTGGCTGCCTCGCCTCACTCAAAGCATAGGCCTTCGAATCCTCCAGCAAATCCTCCACTTCCCCAGCATCCCTATTAACCACATAAATCTCCCCGCATTCCAGATCCGCAAACAGTGCATACAACGCTGCTCTGCTCGCTCCGCCGGCACCAATAATCAACGCCGGCTTCCCTCTCCCTTCGTTCTCGCCGCCCGGTGTTCCCGAGAGTAAACACCCCTTAATCCCCCTCCAATCCGTGTTCGTTCCCCTTAACTTCCCTTCTTTCGTCAAATAAACGTTATTACACGCCCCCAGCATCTTCACAAGATCATCGACTTCGTCTAGGAAGGGAATTATTGTTTTCTTGTAAGGCATTGTAACGACGCCTCCTGCGAATGTGGGGGCGCGGAAGAGCTCCATGACGGAGTCAACCGTGGGACATTCTTGGTTGATGAACTGCCATGGCAAGCCTAACGTTTGGGCAATGTAGTTGTGCATAGGAGGGGCGATGGAGTGCATCACGTTAACTCCAGCCAAGTAAAGATATTTCCGTTGATCAGGAACATGCTTGGTGCCATCGAGGGTGAGAGTCTCGGTTTCGGTCGCCATGGTGTCCAAGAGGGAAATTCAAGAAAAAGCAGTTCTTTGGTTGAGATATACTGATGTGGTATTAAAGATTGTATATGAAAATCATTCGAGTCATAGAGAATGCCCATTTCTCCACGATTTGGCAGACGTTACCTAGTGTCTCTGCCTCCGCCCACTTCACCCCGCCGGCAAAACGCTCTTCCACGGTTCTGAAATCCTGGTTCATCACGTCCAGAAGTGGATATCTGGCTCCTTCTCGAAATGTAAACTGCTTCTCATCCGTATCTAGCCGCTTGTAGCCTTACATGCTCTAGAAATCTGGCAATTTTTAAATCGCCGAGTCGAGTATGGATCACGAGCCAGACACGTGATCTTTAACAATGGAGGAACTTCGTCCTAAGATGTTCACAGAAGTTTGCCCAAGACTGCTGAGTATTCGCCAGTCATTTATACGTGCCTCCTACCGCATTGACACCGAAAATTGCTTCTAGAGATATCTCTTTAGCCTTTTCCTATTTCGCCCCCACCGTCCGCCAGACTCATCCCAGCTTTCGAAACAGTCCCATGTCTCCCAAACTATGGAATCAACTTCTCGCCCACGTAACATACTCCGAATAGAATAAAAGGAGCTTTCAGGCATGAGGTTTCGTTGAGCCAAAGCTGGGCTCAATGGGAAGAACGCACGTGATATTCAATCAATGACCTTCCATGAACAATATTCGGTCACCAATAGAGCAATACAGATAGGTTCGGCAATCCAGAACCAAGTCTCTTCCCCAGCCGAGAATAATACTTCCAGGATGACATAATATCAACAACAATCGCTATGTTTATTCATTGCAAGAGCCCCAACCGATATGCCTCCGCAATGCCATGTGATGCAACGACGTCCTCAACCTTTGGTTTCATGCCTCTTTTCTTCACCTGCCACCGGCCTCCACCAGGCGTGTAATCCTTCACGTATTCCGTCCCCTCGTAATCCACAATCTTGACATAGACCGTCTCACCGCCATCGAAGACGTTAAAGGCTCGCTCGTAAGACCGCTCAAGCGGATGTTTCCTCAGGAAGAACGCAAACTCTAAGCCCTCATATAATTCAGGATAGTCGCTTTGTACATCGCCTAGATGCCAGTCAGAAGTGGACCTGAGAATGGGGAACGCGAATCGTTAAGGGCAAATTGAAAATGTCAGACTTACGGATAAGATCATCAATGAGACCGTCCATGGTTTGCCGCGGCGATACTTCGTGACACCGTGAGAAGCTGTCCCGCTTGAGTTGGAAATAGAGGCTTCCACCGTAAGGGTCCCGCCATCCCTTTCCTTGGAAGCGCTTCCCCTTGTTCGGTCCTTGCTTGTTGCGATAAGCAGGCATCTTGAATTATTCGTCTTCAGGGGAATTTGGATTTTGAAGTGGAAGAATATCAAAGGAAGATGGTAAGTACTAAGAAGCCCGACGACGTTGGATTTGAGTCATCCAGGTCTAAAGCGGGTACCCGAAATTGCTGCTAATCCCCCTGCGGTACAGGGTTGGCAGCCACATAGTTGTCCCTGCAAGGGGTCTTTTCATAAAGGAGGAAATGTGTAAGTGATGCCAAATTCTGTACATGCAAAGGGAGGATCTGGGATGCTATCACTACGAAATTCATCTTTACATTTAATACCACCGAGAATCTTCTCAGGTTCAAATAAGCAAATTCAAGTAATGTACTTGCCCCAAATTGTACTCCGTACGTAAATAGTGGCATAAAGTATCGGGAATGCAGTGTGTTTTTCATAAAATGTTTTATGTAGGCCACTGAAGGGCCTGTAAGGTCTTACTTTAATCTCGCTGTAGCTATTCTTGTCCCCCTAGAAGATCTATGCGTACATATCCATTGCGAATGTCTTACAGCGCCTCTTTGCTTCGATTTAGGGAGCACCGCCTGGAGATAGCGAACTCTTGCCCTAAATTCATTCCCTGTAGAATACCAAGGGTCAAAATGCCCTGTACTCCCGATACTTTATGCCGCGATTTCTGTATATGCCACCATTTCAATCAAACTCTCAATCACCTCTCTCCCAAGTTGACGCCATCTTTAATGCAACAGGCACACCATCTGCCTGAGCTGTCCCATCCACATTCCAATATATCACTCAAACAAAATATTCATCTCAGAGAACATCCTCAAAAGGCTCTCGGGCGTGGGAGTAATACCAGACAGAAAGACAGACACCAGATATATCAGGACGGATACAGATATCTTTTCATTCCTTCAAAAGGGCAGTTTTTCAAGTCTGTTCTCTCTCACTCACTCTCAAATCTCCACCTCTTCCCCCTCGACCCACTTCTTACAAAGCCAATAAAGCTCATCATGTTTTTTCCCATTCATATTTCTGGCCTCCCTCCTATGTCCTGGCATATCCCTCATAACCACCACACCCATCGTCTCCTCTTGGCAATACGCCAAATAGCGATACCCCGTCGGATACCCCTTTAATCTCTCCTCATCCAAAACCGGCACCTTCGCCGGATTAACAGCAATAAGTTTATCCTTCTCATACCAATGCCTCACAAACCTTGCTTTCCAATCCCCGTTCTCTTCTTTCTGCCAGAAGAAGCAAAATCTACAATCGCTCTCGGCATCCACTTCGCACCCCTGGATCTCAAATCGCTGCGTAATGGTAGCTTTCATTTTCGTCACTGCTCTCTTCCCGTCGGGGGAGATGTCGGTTGTGGTCCCGTGACACCGATGCATGATGAAGGCTCCCTTATCCATGCCTGCTTGAGAAGCGGAAATGAAGTCCTGGTAGTGTGTTCGCCCGGTCCAGGTTGTGTAGATGTAGGCGCTTGGGTGGAAGATGGATTTCAGGTTCTCCCATTCGCATGCGTCGCTTTTTGGTATTAGCAGAGAGGTAATGGGAAAGGGGGAAGGGACATACCGGTAGCAAGGCCATCCTTCTGCTAGCTCACGGAGTTTGTATCGCTCGAGAACTAAGTTATCAGGTCCGTTGTTGCGGATTGCTTTCTCTGGTCTTGAGCCTGAGGGGAGGGAGTGTAGGTCTGACATTTTGAGAAGTTAGATGGAAACTAAAATCAGAAAAACAGGAGTTTCAGCTTTGATGTTTTTAGAGAAAGTATAACAACTGATTATAGAGAGAGAAATGGGAAGCTTAAGTAAGATCTCGTCCTCCGATGAGTATTTTGAAGATGGTATTGTAGTAAGTCGGGGATGTTTCAGGGGCTCGCTACCCCGCTATGGCATATCCGCAATATCCGCAATACCCCGCCCTAAAAGGGGTTGCTGGAGTATTCTTTACCCGCTTTGAACAAACTGCCGAGCTCAAACTTTCAATTTATAACTCCCAACGAATTTGCAGTTTTAATCGACTGAAGGTAACTCTTATTCAAAGATGCCAAGTCTTGGGCATACGGACACGTTCCCGTCCTGTTCGTTTGTGGCTTCCTGTGTTGTGAGCAAGTTTTAACCAAAAAACCACCCAGGTAGAGCGGGAAGTCCCCCGTACCTTTTTCATTGTCGACCTTTCACATAGACTCATGTTTAAGATCACTCTCATACCTGTTTCTCACAGTCCTCCCCGCTTTGACGAAACCCTTCAAAGCTCATCATGGAATTCGTCAACCCTGAAGTAGAAGCAAAATACATCTACATCTTCGGCCTCAATATCTCATTCAGCAAACCTCCCATCCTCCGTCAGGTATCTTTCAAGAACCATAACCTACCACACACCTACACCGTCCACAAAACGACGTCCAACACGCCCCTAGCCCCTATCAAGTCCCCAGCCTTCGGCGGCACAAGCGTAACAATGCCACATAAAGTCTCAATCTCCACTTACTCACATCAATTCCCTCGCACGATTGCGTTGTCGGAGCAATAAACACTCTCGTCGTCACCAGCGATGAAAACGGGAGGAGGACTTGAATAAGCGGAGAGAACACGGACTAGGGCGGTCTCGTTTTGTGCTTGGCGACCACGGGAAAAGGAATCATAGGAAAAGCTAGGACGGAATTGGCGATTGGAGCGGGTGGAAGTTTTTCCGGAGAGTATCTTTGCAGCTGAAAACGGGATTTACATCGACATGGCGTACAAACCAAGAGAAACGCTGCTGTTGAAGGTCGCTAAGGGAAAGAAGATTGGGTGACGACGACGGGAGTGAAGGGTCTGCTCGCATAGACGTTTGTGTAGAGTGAGCTGTGGTTGAAGTTACCCGCGCCCAAAGAAGAGATGATTCGAGCCTTAGAGGAACACGATTTGGAGAGTGAAACCGGCGAGAGAATTAGCGGGAAACTATAATATAGGAACAAGTACTTATATGAATGAGATAATTTGAGCTCATGGAAACCCTCGTTTGCGTACACCACGCTCTGACATCAAATATATTCTTGTTTGATGAGTCCGGTCAGTCAGAAGAAAATAGCATTGCAAGAGTAAGAAGTGGCAACCTCATCTCCTTTCTTAAGCGAGGAATTTGAAGGGGAGAAGACCCACAATACTGAGCCACCCCCATGATTTTGCGAGACTGAGCTAATCCTGGGGATGATCGCCAAGACGACATCTTAGCCTGGAGGACCTCGCAAAAATAACGCAGAAAAGACCCATGGTCAGAATGAGAACATCAATCTCGTATATATATCCGTTCGGGGTTTAAGGGAGGTGATAAATAGGAAGGACTTCCCTGTCACGGCTTTCCACCCTCGAGAACATTTCACGCACAATAGACCCACCACCCACAACCCAAGATGAGCCTCCTCCTTCGTACAACGAAAGCAACTCAACCGCCTTTACGCCCTTCCACTAGAGAAGGCCCTTTCTCTTCCATCCTTCATTGACAACGATGAAGAAGAAGGTGGTCGATCCAGCCTCCCTCCACCCTTCACTCTAACCCCTATCACGCTCGCCATCCTCCCAAATAGCATGCTAATCTCACCATGCACACCCAGTACTCCTACCAAGGCATTATACGAGCTGTCACGACCCTTCTCCAGACATACTCGCAGTATTAGTATCTCCGAGATCCTGTCTTCTAGTGGGCTTGGAGAAAATGGGATGTTTAGAGAGAGACGAAGAGGAAGGAAAGGGGGATTATTTGGAGATTGCTGGGTAGTTGAATTCGGAAATGTTTGTTTGCGACCGAAGAGATAAGTGGAGTGTGGTGCTGAGGAGAATGGCGCATTTGAGTAGGAAGAGCTGGGAAGTGAAGAGTGGGGACAACGGGTGTGTTTTGCACTACTCAGCTAAGCCGAAGAAAGGAATCGTGGAGTGGAAAGATTAAAAGAGCGACGTAGTGGCTGTTGCGACTCCAGCCGTGCATCAAGAGACTGAAACCGAGACATTGGGATTTCGGTGGGGATGGTGGGGGAAAATATAGATCTCTTGGCGGACCGTTGGATTGCGAGGATCCTTCAAGATATGCAAAAAGAGCGAGAAAAAAATGAAGGAAGAGAAGTGGACGAGTGGTGTTTCTGAAGGGAGACCGTATGGGAAGTTATACTGGTGTGAGTTCTTCTCGGCGTACGAAGAACCTGCGAAGCAACGAGGACTGACTTGACTTGTAGTAAAAGAGGCGTTGGGCATTGGAGTCCATATAAAGTCAAAGTATTCGGGGCTGACAACGGGCCCGCTGAGACTGACGGAATATGGAAGGATCAAGTGGTCGTAAGACGAGTACACATTTCCATTCAAGAAGCTGGAACAATCGTAGTTGTGTTCAACATTCGTAACACCACCATTTGCGTTATCTTCCTTCTTGAAAAGTTGCGATTGTCCGACACGCTACTCATTCCGGCCCCAAATTCGTTCCTAGAATAGATGTTGTGAGACTGACTATCTCTGGTGGCGGTGTGTATCTCTCTACTGCTAGATTTCGTATCGAGGACGAGAGATGGACGTCGAAATCAACCGCGTACATTAGTTCACCATCCCTAACCCGTTTTCTTAAAGCTACAGAGATCACATGCCCCGATGGTAATGCTATAGCATCCCTATCACATGATTTGTAACTCTGGCACTTGCTGGCTTCCCAATCTCTCTCATTAAATGGCTTCCCATTAGGTGGCAGCAGAAAAACGCTAATAGATCCCTGGTGGTAGATCCCCAATACAAAAGAATCCTGACATTCTGCAGGGCCGGTCATGTCTTTGAACTCCACCAATGCCATAGATTCTTCTGGGATGATAAGTGTACAATCGTGGGCATCGTTATCGGGTGGGAGCCACCTTGTGATACTGGGAGGACGGCCTTCAAAGATTTTGTCGGAGCCCCTGCGGCAGGTAGCCGAAGATATGGCAAAACCATTGCTGAAGAAATATTCGGCGCTTATTGCGAATTTCCGGAAGTCACTGTTTGGAATCGCGTGGCGCTGTACCGGAAAGATGTATTGGAAACGGGGTAGGAAGATCTGCTTCTTTTTTCCCTCCAATGGAATTGCGGAATATGGGAGCCCATGCAGTTGGGAGCTGCCAGGCCGGTGCCACATGTAACCGTCCCCTAGGGTTAATCGCTTTAGAGGAAGCAGTATGTGCCTTTGTTCTGCCTTCCGGGCCGGGGAATGATGAGTCGACCGTACACTGCAGCTCAAGGGTGCGAAATAAAAGTTCGATTGGTCATGATTTCTCAAAAATTCATCGATTTCGGCTTTGAGCCTTGAATCACATTTCTTTAACACTTCCGCTACTGGTATTAGCACAACTGAGATGCTCAATCCTTTGTTGGTCATTGAATATGGATGAGAGGATCTGAACTCCGAAAGGGGGACGTAAACGTCGCCCGAACCATGGAAGTCCGCGGGAGTATTTGCAAGGACATTACCCCCGATTCTCCGAGCGTCAAACGGATCTGTTGGATATGTCCAAGCAAAGAGGGAGTCGTCATCGGAAATCTTCATGATTTCAAGTTGGAGCCGAGTAAATGCATCGTTACCCTCGCCGTATATGAGAGGCATATGTACCCGGAAAAGACCCATTAGACAATAGGCTGTGTCCTCGACCCTCAGTGTCCGCCTTTTTGAGGCCCATGAGAATTTCTGGGCTACACTTGCCGCCTTGAACCCTCCTTCTAAAAAGTGCTCATGGATGCTAGTAATAGAAGCTATTAGCTTGCTAAAGGTACGCCTCGTTCCGATTTCGGCCCCTGAGTAATCCGAGTTTTAGCAAATGCTCGATGAAAATTGTTTGTGTGGAGTTTCAAACACTATCTTGAAGAGATCACGAAACGGCCGGAATTAGGAAGGGAATTCTTCCCTAGTACTTACAACCTCGGTTGAAGAAGAATACCGCGTCCGGTGCAAGAAGCTCCTGGAGAGTCCACCCCCTGGTAAACCATTCACTCATCCGAAACGCCGAGCCCTCTCCCCAGTGGTCCTCTTCTTCGGTAGGAACATCAACGAGGTAGGCATAGCAAACTTGAGAATTCCTGTACCATTGAAACATAGAGTTAATCGCCTCCGAAAGCTCTGCGCTGCTTGATTTGTCAATGCAGCATGAGTCGATCCACTGCCATTTGTCAGCTAGTGCTCTCAGTTGCCAGTTGTGTTCACTTTGGAAAGAATCAAGAATGCTCACGGCGTATTCCCAGCCTTCCTTTCGAGCCTGGGCGCTACAGCCTACAATCTTCGCCCATCCCGCCATCGTCGGGCCTCGACCCTGCTGCAAGTCCTGGAACGTGACTTCATCGGCGCCCCACCGATGAGAAAGAATAGCATAGTACGGGATCTCGCTCCCGAAGAACTCGTGGAGCTTGAGCGTTGTTGTGTCGAGCAAGCGCATTGTTGAAGCTGATGCAGATGCGCAGCCTTGCCTAGCGTTCCTCGCAGAAGAACGACGAAGACTGACCTTCAAGGTGCTTGGGGTGGACAATGGTCAAATCGGCAAGACCGTAACGAGATGGGCGATATGTGAAGGATACAGAGAGAATAGAGATGAAGGTGTTTGAGGTGGGGAAGGAATCTTTTATGGTAGCCTTATGGGTTGTGGTGGCTGGGTAAGCCACCAAAGATGGCAAGAGCCGCAACTGGAAGCTCATTGGTTTCGTCGCACTTGAGGCCCAACCCAATGATAATAGAGGGAAGAATCTGCTGTCTCTCACTTGGGACATGATTGCATCCTAGGCGGAAGTGACATTGCCAAGCACAAACATCTATGAATGCATCATCATATTAGCATCGCTCATCTACATGCAGTTGGGGTATCTCCAGCCGTAGAACGCCATATCGCAATATCCACGCCCATTATTTGACAATCCGAAAATGCTGCAAATGAAGCGCCGTGGAAAAAACGCCACCATGCTGGTGCGACCGCCTTGAATGAGGAAACATCACCGCTCGGAAGAGCGGGACGGTCTCATTTCAAGCATAGTACGTCACCATGAACGCCATTGAAATAAGAAACACGTTGCTCAAAAGAGCTGAATGGTCTCGTTCTCAGCGTAGTAAGTCTTCGTAGCCTCACGAAGCTCAGCATCCTCGATAATCTCCTCTTCAGCTTCGGCCAACTTCTTCATCTCCTGCTTAAGGATCTGTTGCATATTAACGAAGTCAGTACCATGAATGGCGAGCCAATTCTGGTGCCTGCAGCGTCGCTTTGGCTTGAGGCACATATTATCGAGGGCGGCGGAGACCTTGGGGGGTTCGGGAATAACTTGACCAGGATAAGGGATGCAAGCACCGATCTCCTTCGTCTCGGCGGTGCGAGGACCAAGTCTGCCAGTTGCGAAAGCCTGCTTGCCCTCCTCCGAGTGGAACCAATCATCGAACTCTTCCTCGTTCATAGAGAGACGATTGTCGAAGCCACAGAAATCTTTGATCTCCAAGTTGGGTTCCTTGGCAGCGATCTTAGAACGGTCGTTCACCATGATCAAGAGCTTTTGTTGATTTTGGTAAATCTTGATACGGTCCTCGAGGGTCTTCTTCTGTTCCTTGAGCTCCTCGATCTGCTTCTTCTCATCGTCGTTGAGGTAATCGAGACCAACTGGGCGAGCTGTGACTATGTTAGCAATGTCGACACAATAGGAGAGCTGCAATCATACTAAGGTCAGCTCCTTCCTTGACCGGGAGTCTTGGCTTCTGGCCCAACTTGTGGAATTCTTCCGCGGTCGGGGCTTCCTTCAAGAGCTGGCCAACCTCCCTGAAATTCAAAGCACCTCCAATGGAGGGAGCGTCATCCTTGCGAACCATGCTCGAGACAAACTTCCAGAAGAGATAGGCGCACTCGTCGCTGCAGTACTTGCTGGGAGGATCCATTGCAACACGAGCAGCCTTGCGACACTGGATGGTCGGGACATTGTTGCAACGACACATACGCTTCCAAGTGGTGAAAAGCTCACCCTCCTTGTGACACTTGGGGCAGATGAATCGATCGAGCAGCTCTTTCGCATCGTCCTCGTCGATACCGACGCAGGAGCAATGGTACCAGTCCTCACAACCACCGTCACAGTAGACCATCATACGATGATCATCCGGGCCACGGCAAATGCAGTATTCTCCACCATCGTTGCTTTCGGAGTCGGACGCGGTCGCATTCATTTGACTGGATGGTTGACTGGCGCTCTTGGTGTTCGGTGTGCCGGCTTTCTCTGCTGTTATAAAGTTAGAACTGCAGTATCTCGTGGATGATTGTGACGACGTACCATCAGACTTAGACTTCTTAGCGTGCTGCTTCTTGACAGTTGTCGCAGTGCCTTTCTTGGCTGGCTTCTGTACCTTTGGCGGCAGAACGGTACTGGCCTTCTCAGGAGCGGGACTATTCATTTGCAGTCCACTGGAAGGGGTGCCTTGCTTGACAGTTGCGGACGGAGTACCTTGCTTAGGCGCGGAGGAAGGGGCTGGAGTACCTTGGCTGGAGGACGGTGGAGCAGGAGGAACCTTGCGGGCGCGACCTTCGCTCTTGATCTTCTCGGAGATGCTCATGGGTATGACGTCGCCACCAGGGGTTCCATCACGGGAGCTCGTGGATGCCTCCTTCTTGATCTCCTTCTTCTTCGAAGCCATCGTTGATGTGGAAGCTTTTGGAGTTGAACGGACGGAGGAGAGGGGAACGCCAGATGCTTTGGCGGCAGCAACAGCTGCAGCGTGCTTTGCTTTGTTATTAGCGAGCATTTCAATCGCGAGATGCCGCGTCTCGCCTGATTCGCGATATTTGCGGGACTCGTTTGCGCTCTTGTGATGCTTGTTGTACATGCGAGAATCGGCAGCTGTGTAGACTTTATTCCAGACTACGTCGTCCTCGCCCGGCGGGGTTGGAGCAGCTTGCGGATACTTGTACTTGAATCCTAGCTTGTTGTTTGATATGACGGCGAACGGGTCTTCTACCTCGATGGGCACAGGCTGTGGGACTCCGGAGGCAGAGGGAGGAGATGCCTGGGCACTGGCAGCTTGAGGAGGCTGTAAAACATAAGATAAGTGAAGTCAGCAATAAAGTTCCACACACGTACAAAAGCAAAAGTGAAGACTGGAATAAAAGGACTCGAAGAGCACCACTGTCGAGACCAGATGGGGGTCGCGTGGAGCGGATTTCGTGTTGAAGGCGAAGCACGCTCAAGGGTAACGGGACGAGTTCACTTGCATCATTAGGGGCAATGGCGAGCTCGGCCGTGGCCTGCTGCATATCATTGACGCTTGAATCCATCGTGGACTTGTGATCGTTTGGGCGTGTCAAGCTGAGCTTGAAAGGGCTGAAGTCAACTTTCGACGTTCACAAAAGATGTGGTTCAGGATCTGCGAGGCGGGAGCTAACCTTTTCGGGGCAGGTAAGCGAGGCACTTTCAGTGGAGAGCGCATACCAGGCTCAGCCTTATCAGCCTTGCAAAAAAATATAGTATTTTTGAGCTTCAACGGAGGGGGGATTTGGGTGGAAATGGAACGAGGAAATGGAGTGCAAGGGTTTTAATTGCTAGGGAATAGAAGTTCGTTTATCAGTACAAATTTTTGTAGGGTTCTTCTCAAAGGTGCGTAGCAGACCCTGAATATCACCTTTGTGTTAAGAATGTGAATTGCCCGATTTTAAGCATACAGTCGAATTATTATCAGCGCTATCGGTGCCCGAAGACAATCCAATTAGCCGAATTTAGCAAAAACCCTTACTCTAATATATATGTTTGCTGTTCGTTGCGCCTGAAAATCGGCAAGCTCTGACTTTTGTTTTTGGACCGTCATGTGTAGAACACCTTTAGCTTTGCAACTGACGATGGGAAGACAGGCGAACTTTACCATGATTACTCATGTATTATTACTAGCGGGTGTGGCCTTTGCTATTAGATGGCAAACTGTCAATTGTGTTCCAAGACACTTGCATTGCAGATACCAGAAATCAAGGAATTGAACATGCAGAGGCACTCTGGGAATATCAATCCGCAGTGCAGGAAAGCTCTAATAGTCGGAAGATATCAATTAAGCCGTTGAAAAGGGAATTATATATAAAGAGCTCCTTCATCACCTGTCCTCCTCAAGTCCGAATCTTACAAGTGCCATCTTTCAGAGATTCCTAGACGCTTTTTGGGTATTGACGCTACAAAGGGAAAAGTCCAAACCAGATAACAACGCCAAGTAAGTGAGCCGCGAGGCTATTCCCTCTTCCAGCCGTGAGGCCTCGTTTCTCTTGCATATCCGCATCCGAAGGGTCCAGGGATTGCCCCCATGGACCTTCCTTCGTCCTGTCTCAGTCGGCCGTGAGACCACATCGTATAACCCACCAATTTTATATCCCTCCTTTCCTCCTTGATTTCCACCTCAATGGTGGTGTCCATGTCTCCTGGAGCTTCCAGAGCTTTGTCCATGATGGCGATGCGACGAAGAATGATGTGACGAATGTCTGTGACGGCTACTAGAGCCGCTGCGCTCCAACTCCTGATCCATCTCCTCAATCCTCTGCCTATAACCCCTCACAATGTCTCTTATATGTCTTATCCGGTCGAAGTCCACCTCTAGCTCATCAATTTGCCTCAATATGTCGTGAAATCGGGCAATCTCGGAATCCGCGATCTGGATCGCATTGCCTGCCCTGTCGTACTGCTGCTGTGCCACCATCTGGGATTGTTCGGAGAGGTATTCCAGTCGTGCAGATATCTGTTGTAACAAGCGATCAAAGTGCCGGCTTAATTGTGCGAGGGAATGGCTGTCCAGGAGGAGCAGACCTTGGGAGGAAGCGCGGGACGCTGCGCGAGAGGAGGAGCCACCAGCAGTGGAGGCGGCAGCTTGCTGGTGATGCCGCAGCAGGGAGATCTCTTCATTGGTCAGTCCCAGCTGGGTATCGGGGACCGCTTGATCTGGAGTTGACATTGCGGTTGGCGGCAGTTAATGCCAGTGCGCATGGGACGAGGTGTCAGAGTTGTGGACAGCGGCGACGACACCCTCACAGAGAGCTGCGAAGGTGCTGTAAGCTTCATGGTAATTGAGATAAGGGTTGGATCATTGCAAGAGCTCCCCGTGGTGGTGTTGTAGAGAATGGTGGACTGGATTGTGCGGGATAAGGTGCGGTCAAGCCGAAGGGGGGAAGGGTCGGTTCCACGATCTCGGGATAGAGATATTTTGTTTTTATCAATGGGAAAAAGAGGAACGGATAGATCGATCAGCTGAGACAGACAATCGGCGGCCTACGCTCTGATATATGTTTGCCGTCCCAGGATGATCCTGTTGTCGCGGAGCGCAGCGGGTGCTCTTTGTGACAAAACATAAAAAAAGAGCTTTGGAAACTGTTTCGCCCTCTGGCGCTCAATGATGTGAAGCCAGTGGGCAGATAGACGCCGCACAATTTGCTGGCCCCAGTATCTGGGGTTGCTAGCGCTCGGTGAAACGGTGAAACCTAGACCTTGTCAATCCCCCGTCTGCACAATTCATTCCAAGACTTTGTGCAGTATGAACAATTACATAATTCCGTTTGCCCTGCGACTGCGCCGTTGAGCCTCATCCCATCCTCAGCACATCCTGAATCATGATCGCCGGTAGCCCTTCTGGACGGCGGGTGACTGCATTGCGGAGGCTGTCCCTCCGCATGGGAATCATGCCCCTCAGTCCCGGCGGAACAATCATTCTGCAGCTGCCCGCAATCTGCCTGTATCTCGTGCAGCTGATCCATGCAGACTGCAGTAGAAGTTTGTCAGTTCATCCAACCCTCTTAATGGGCTCCAACATTTGGATTCCGGAACAACTCTCTTCTACTCATCGTCAATTTGACTGGCAAGTGCCTCGGTCATCATGAATTTTGTTCCCGGTTTCTGGGATACACGCTGAATGGTAGTTGTTGAGGAGCGGGGTGACGTTCATATATTTCCTGGCTTCAAAGCGGACAAACGAAACGCTATAGTCTATGGCAGCGGTCCGATTGCATGTACCCCGCCGGAACAAATGAGCAGATGGATTTTTTTTTGGGCGTACTAAGTGGACTGAACCGATGAAGCGGCTTCTTCTCCGTCGTCATTGAGTTGAAATTAGCTGGGTGATATAGAGTGGACGATTCCCAAGGGCTATGGGAGGAGTCTCCCTTCTTCGTTTCCTACTTCAATTGGACTGAGCCATTGCAGGCTTTCACGATGAAGCTCTCTTCAGTGTGTGGTACGGTTGCGGCTGCGGCAAGTCTGGCTTCAGCTACGATCTGGCAGAATGATCAAGTTCGCATCACACATTTCCCTAACACCACCATTGACCCTTCAGGATACAAGTTCAAGACCTATTCGCCAAATTCCACGGAGCTATCGTACAAAGGGAGATGGGATAGTCATTTCACCAGTTGGTATTCGTAGGAAACCCCACACTACGGACAGCTTCACAGACTGATCATTGTTCCAGAGTACCCGGGTTGAAGTTTGGCTTTACGGGGAATCGAGTTGCCATCACATTTGGGCCAGAAACATTCGACACGACCCTCGTCGGATATCGGATTGATGGACAAGATTGGCAATTCACGAATGTCTCTACCGGTGCAACCCATCTTCTTGTCAATTCGAACACGACTGGTGTCAGCCTTACGTATCCTATCAGCCCTTCGGCTTTTGAGATGCGAGTCACCAATTGGGCTTATGGAGTACAAATTGGCGCAGTGCACGTGGGGCAAGGAGAGAAACTTATCAAAATCCCAGACTTTCCGCGGACAATCGAAGTCATTGGGGATTCTCTGTCTGCTGGGATGTACGCATCTTACGAAGGGCTATCCAGCTTCGCGTACGGATTGGGTGCTGGTCTGGGGAACTCAGAATATTCTGTCACTGCTTATCCCGGCATCTGCTTATTCGACAAACTTTGTTGGGGCAACCCTCACGGAATGCTCTATCAATGGTTTCGAACTTCAGATACCAGCTGGCGAGCTCAGCAAGCATTTGGTGATAATCCTGAGTGGTGGGACTTTTCAAAGAAGCCAGCCGCAGACATTGTTGTGATCAATCTTGGGACGAATGACAATAATTCAGCAAACAACGTAACGGCTGAAGGGTATGTTGCACAATACAAAATGCTAGTCCAAGGGGTGCATAAGGTATACCCGAAAGCTCAAATCATTCTCATGGTAAGGTACTCCTCCCCTCTATGGAAATACCTCTGAATTTCCCAGGCTCTTTGGGAGGGCTTCAGCACCTTCGGCAACACATACGCACAATCCACATTGATCTCAGATGTAGGCTACGTTCCGCAAATCTATTCCGTCTACGAATATTTCAACACGAAAGAGTATCTCGCAAACCCCATCCTCTACGATCCAGTCTACAACACAACATATCCATCGAACCAGACATCGGCCCCATTTGTTCACTACTTCAACACTACCGGTTTGATGCAGCATAATGACATCGGGCCACAATGGCACCCTACCGATGCTGGGCATATCAAGGTCGCGAGCCACTTAATTCAGTACATCAAGATGAAGTTCGATTGGGTCCTGTATGCTACTGGGCCGGAGATTTTCCACGATACTCTGTATTGGAACGATAACAGTGGCTTCTGAGGGTATCAAAATAGGGGTGGGAGCATGCCAGCTCGGGACATGTAAGGTGTGCTATGGCATACTGTCCGCTCACAATGTAATGCACAACTGATCAGGCTGCTCTTGAATGCCCCGAATGGCAATTTATCCTCTTCACTCGGTCACAGAGAATTTTCGTCGCCGCTAATTCTAGGTTGAAAAGCCACGTGAGAAGATCTGCCCCTTACCAAGATTCAGGGGACTCTTTGCCGAGTGAAGCCGATACAAGAAGTTCTATTTCAGACGTCTCTGGCACATATCACCCAATACAGCTACATTGGCGGCAATTTTCCCCGAATAAATCAGCTTTACGGAGATTTCTTAATGTCCTTGAATGTCCTCCGCTTTTTTCTCCTTGCGGAATTTACCCAGCAAGATCTTGCGGTTATCCACAGATATATGTCAAGGAATCCTTGGAGGGCGACAAGTTCCAGAATTCTGCAACTGCCGCAACACTCGCATCCCAGCTGCCTTAGCACTCCACGGATGGGACAACATCTTTCGCATAAGCATTTCTCGACGAGATGATGCAGCGAGAGCGGCAGCATGACAACAAGCGAAACCTTCTTCGATTCACAGCCAATCTTGATACCTTGTTGTCAAGCTTGTAGAAACAAAATAGCGGGAGAAGAGAGGGATGTGCAGCGATCCCAAACAGATCGACGAGACAGGCAACGGCACGAGATGTACAAGTGGACGTCCTGCTCTCCCATAGAACGACGACAAAAGTTCCAGAACACTGCAACTGAAGAAGAACATGCGATAATGGAAAGAAGCGCGCCAGGCTGGGATTCAACTTGAGATTTCTCGATACACACTTGAACGGGCAGGGCCTGCTTCCTCTCGATAGACAGTGGTGAGCACAGCTTCAAGGCACTTTGAACCTCAAAAACCTCACTCGGGAGCTATCGGCCCTATCAATTTCGTTATATTTGAACCGCAACTCTTACCTCCGGACGGATAAACAAGTCACTGAGGCTGTCAAAGCCGTCAAATCCCAGCTGCTCGAAGCGCTTCGGGCGTCGAAGTTGTTATCGCAGTGATTAAGGTTCGTTTCAGGACCGAAGTGTGAAATCGCGGCAGAAGAACAAAGAGAGCTGAGATCTAATTTCTGGCTGCATCTCGTCGTATATATATATATGAATGGACGTGCAGGTCGATTAGCCTGATTTTGCGGCTGCTTCAGGCTGCACAGCCTCCCCGAGGTTCCCTGCCACTTGTTCACCAAACCTGCACCGATCGTCAGATTGACGAAAACCATGTTCAGACGATCATCCAAACTTTGTTTTCGTCCGAAGAGAGCCACCCGTTTCTTTGCCAAATCTGCTTGTTCGAATTCCGTCTTGAATACACACATCTCCCTCTCTATACTCAGAGCATCACTTGATCTCGATTCTCTGCTCTCGCTTCTTCTCTCCCCCCAAACACACCGCCGCCGATTCTTGCCTTCCACGTAAGTTCGTCAGTTCTCAAACAGAGGCTGGTCATGCAAGCGCGGCCAGGCCGCCTCAGACACTCCAAGTCTCAGCACCCCGCGAGATCTGCGCCAGCATTCAACGCTTAGACCTCCCTGCATTGCATTTCCGCACTCGTGCCGACATGCCCTGGCTCCTCTCTGCCGCCCCGAACCAGCATGTGCCAAGATCTGTCACCGTTTCGAAAATCATCTCATATCGAGTTTATGCTATAGCCGCCGCTTGTCAAAGTTTCGAAAGGCCCCCTCGCTGCTTGCCTCATGGGGTTCCGCATAACCGGGCCCTTGCGGTGTCTTCATTCCTCTCCAGCCATCCGTCTCAATTTCCGGAACCCGCGGTCTGGGCGTTGTATGACCGGGTTCGCGGCGTATAGGGAATAACAGGGCGATCTTATGCTGTGCTATTGCATTGCTATTGCCCTCCAGCAGCATAGCATCACGTTTTGCGCGTGCGTTTTCGACCTCGACCGCTATGCAGGGCAAGCCAACCAGCAGATCATTTCGGCACCCGACGCACCCATTAATTGGGATGCCCCCCGTCAAACCCATCTTTCCCGCGCTCCGGATTCAGGTCGAGAAAAACAGGTTCATGCAACTCCCAGTGTTGGCCCAGCACCCCAAAGAAACATCCCATCCGAACAACACATTGGATGCAGTTGTGGCGCTTCCGGGCCTCTCTTAACTTCGCAAAAATTCCAGCGCAGATCCTCCGTCCCTGCCATGATCCGTGTCGCCTGTTTGTCCCTCAGCCGCGCAGTGCAAGGATGATCCCTCCATCGCTCTCCCCCGTTTCTGGATGATTCCCGGAACGGGGGCTGCTGAAGCCTGGGCTACGGTACAAGCGAGATAGCCTCTCTCTGCAAAAAGGTGGGTGCCCGTGAAAAACGGCGGGTGGGCCGTTAGCACAAGCTTGAGGGGAGCAAAAAAGAAAGCAAGGGATACCCCACCATCGCAACGTCACTCGGCCCCGCGAGATGCGCGCGCAAGGCTTCCTGGCCTCATTGCTTACTCCACTTCCTTCCAAATGCATCCATATCGCCTTCTTAATAATAATATCAGCTGCTTAATTATAACAATTAGGTCAAGTAAATGGAAAGGATATTCCCAGTAGCATCGAGAGCGAGAGGTGCGGAGCTGTCAGGTACCCACTGGGAGGAGCGAGCGACTGCGTTGGGGGGGAGGGGGCCTGAGTCGCAAAGCGCCAAGGGCGCGTTAATCGTGCTGTAAGGCTGCATGAGATGGTGCCTGAATCGCGGTCCAGGGTCTTTGCTTGCTTGATGGGGGGCCATCGTCCTCATCGCCATCGGGGCAAATCGTCATCTCCGGGTCTTTCTTTTTATGAGGGTGATGAAATGCATGTGCGGAGGGAGCCCTTCGGAACTTACGAAAGGAATCTCCCACCTCCCCTGGGAAGATCATGCTATTGGGATGCCTGATGCTTAATGCGGCCTAGCAAGCTGGCTTCATTCGGTTGTGGAAATGGTAAGGGAGAGGAGAAGATGCCTTTGTTGTGATAGTGAGACATTTGATCATCATATCGAAATATGCGTATTATTGATATTGCCCTCCACCTACCTCCTTTCCCTTCAATTGGCAAAGGGGGAAATCCCGTTCTCCTGAATAGTGGAAAATTCTCTCCGATGGATGTTGAGGTAGAATGGAATGGTTGTGGGAATACACAGAAATGTAGTTTGGGTAATAATGGTTTGATTGACGCTCAATTACTTTACACTATCAACCCACACCTAGGGCCAAACCACTGAAGCATCTAATTGTTGTCTTGTGGCCGTCAGACCCGACTGCCTGGTATCGCAGCCTCTGCACACGATGCACACAAGTGCCAAATGCAACAGAAAAGGTGATGGACCAGCAAGCATCTTTTCTTCCATCCGTATCCCCTTTGACCCACTTTTTTGCATCTCCATCTACCGGCATCTCGCCCATGCGCGGGGCAAGGTCCGTAATATTTCCCTTTGAATCCAGCAAGCAGGATCCTCAAAGAGCTTCCCATCTTTCTCCGTTCGCATCGAGCCTTTTCTCGAGGGAACCAATAGCCATTACGCCGATGTAAATGCCAACCAACCGATGTGGTGCCGCCAAACGCCGTCTCATTGGGTTGCAAGTAAACAAAACATGCTTGTTGTGAGCAAACATAACAGGAAGGAAACAACGAGTGGCTATCAGTGACCGGATGCCACTCGAGTAGCAATACAGATAGCGAAACGAATCGGAAGAAAACATTGTATTTTATACATTATGGCCGGGCCGCTGCTCACTCATTCGTGATTGTAGTTGTGACTTGGTGGATGGATGGAAATCAAACCATCGCTCCGCCTTCGAAGTTGTGACATCCCCGTTCGTGCCTCTTCATGTTGCTGCGCACGCTGAATGCTTTTCCGCATCCCTGATGTGGACACTTGAATGGCTTCTCGCCAGTATGCGAGTGAGAGTGGATTCGTAGGCTGGACGGTCTTGAAAATGCCTTGTTGCATGTTTGGCAGATGTAACGATCTTGAGATTGGGGAAACGACGCCGCCGAAGATGGAGAGATGTAGTGATGATGTTGCCATGGGTTTGCGCCCGATGAAGGAGTGAGAGTCACAGAGACTGGCATCAAAGGAGGTGGGAATTGCTGTATTCGTTAGTCTCAATTGTAGGACAACAAGGACGATAAACGTACTTGAGGAAGAGGTCGTTGATAGTAGAGCCCCGATATTTGAGATTGAGGTGGTGTTTGTTGCATCGGGCTTGGGTAGTAAGAGCTCATCGACTGCTGAGGCGAAACAGTGTATTGTGACCCATTGTAGGGAGATTGAGCATAGGCCACTGAAGTTGCTGGCATGGACACTCTTCGCTGAGGCACAGGTTGACGCTGATGGTGAGGTTCCACATTGTTGATAGCTGAGACTGAAGATGGTGCAAAGTAATAGCCAGGTGCAGAGACGACCGAGTAGCCAGAGTTAGATCCAGCAGAAGGTGATTGACGGCCATCAAATCCAGATTCTGATTGCATTGGAGGGGTTGGTGGAAGAGCCCCCCGGGTACTCATAGCTGGTGATGGTCCATACTGTTGATGTCCTGAGTCGGGCCTATATTCAGTCTTCACTTGCTGTGCTGTTTCTGTCGTTAGCTACGAGCTGCAGGTAAACTGAACAACTCTACTGACCTTGTTGTTGGGCCTGTTGAGCTTGTTCTTGTGGGCTCGATCCATCAGCCAGTCCAAGCAAGCTTGAGATTGAGGGTAAAGAGCACTTTGCTACTTCGTCGACGGGAGGTGATGGTGGTGGTTGAGGAGCTGTCACATATGTATATGCTGGATTTTGGCCATGGGATTGGCCGGTGTATGGATTCGATACCAATGAGGACGCCATGACTTGTTGTGGTCGAGATGGATATGGTTGGAATTGCTGCTCTACGTGATGTCTGCCTGCGTGTACTAGGCTGGAGAGGTTCATGACCCAGGTGTCGATTGCAAATCGAAGAGTAGACAGAATGCTGCTGAAACGCTGACTGGACTAAGCTGGTGGGGTAAAGTGTCTCGTTGCGAGAGGATGTTAGAGATTAGGATATTAGAGCTGAAGTTGTTGTAAAGTTTCTCTCGGATCGTGTATGTGACCCTGGGGGTGGTAGATACGCCTGCGAATGCAAGGCCTCCGAGGTGCGTGAGGGATAGATGTTATTTATCAGATCTCCCGACGACTGTGGGTAGGCGATCAGGCGAGAATCCACCATAGAGATCCTGGCAGGGTCCAGAGTAGCAATGCTGTCACAAATTGGTGTGGGTCAACAACTTTGGATGCCCCAAGCCTTGAAACCTTGCACAGCAAGAAACACTCGTGGTTGGGATGATCAGGAGTAGTGGTGGCCCTGGATGCCTCCCACTGGACTTCGCAGCGTTGCACGCCGGTACTGTACTGCGAACTCGAAGCGGACGAGCAGAGGATGATTGCCCAGGATGTGGGAGGAGAGGCCCAGGGATGCCCCGAAGCTTGCAAAGACCGTTAAATGCACCCGCAAGTGGAGAGCCGCCCAACTCGACGATAGCGGTCGGCAAGGTTCAATGCCTGTTCAATGCAGAGGTGCCTCGGAGATGACCCGTTCGAGGCAAACTTTCTCCTCAGGTTTTCAGGGTCTCCCTGCTTTGTCACCTCCAGATGTTTGGACCGGGATCCTGACATCCACAACGGAGGACATGAGACGAGGGTGACGGAAGCCTGATGCACCACTGATGGAGGCAGGATTTGGCCTGCAAACTTGTCGTTCTCTTCGTTATTGCTTGGTGCCGGCCGGCAAATTGAGGATATCTTCAATGCTCTCCTCCCAAACGCACTGGTGGAACAATTTTTCTTGGGGTCCACAGGGAACTTCGGGACACTGGCACTGCGGAAACTTGCCAGCTGTTTCCACCACACACTTTCTGCTCCCTCCCCTCTATGCCTTTAAGACCAGACAGAAGTGCTATTCTAGCCGTCCGTTCGCGGAAGATGCTACAGCTAATGATCGAATGGTGACACGGACAGCAGGCGCTCCTCTCGGGACGATAAGATCGCGTATGGGGTATATTGGATGAAATTCTGGAAGGCGGCAAATAAATTGTGTGAGATCCAACCCTGCCTCCTGAGGGATCGCCGCGATGGCGTCTGTACAGTTGCTCGCTTCGACGGTCAAAGGGCCCGTGTTAATTCAAGGTTGGGATGATAAGCTGCAGGGATTTTGGTGGGTGAGCCACGGCCGCGCAAAGCTCGCTCCAGGTCTCAGCAGCTGTGCGAAATCGATAGTTTGATGTGTCGGTGTGTCGGTGTGTACTGTACAGAGCAGACTGAGGAATGAGGATGGGAAGAATTGGAGTTGCAGACGTGGAGGCGTACCTCATGGCGTACCTCATACCACCTGCGGCTGCCGCACAGTGATCATCCTTTCCCGACAGAGAAAGCACAGCCTTGGGGGGAGCTTGGGAAGGAGCAGCCGGTGGCTCGAATTAGGCTTTGCAGATCACTGGACCTGGCTTGATCACAAAAGACAGAAGAGGAACGATGTGACTGGATCTCCATTGCTAGTCTTCTGTTAGTCAAAACTCTAGAACCTGCCGCCCGGCACGAATGTCCAGTTTTGCAGCTGTCCACCTGTCAACCACGCTTTGCGGGCCGCAACAGCAGCAGCACGCGGCCACGATTGTCGTCGGCCACCGTTGGGAACGATCCCGACACAGAGGGCATGGGAGAGTGCGTGACGGGAGAGCAGCGCCGCTGCCTCTCAGTGTCTCACACACAACCACGCACAGTTCCGAACGGGCTCGGTTGCACACTTGGCCTTGAGGACGTCTGACAATAATGGCCACCACCTTCCACGCAGAGCACCGAACCTTCGACGATGGAACAAAACCTGAGGTTGAGGGCTGAGGGCTGAGGGCTGAGAGCGGAGAGCAGATGGCAGAGAGCAGAGGTCTTCGGCAGCTTTCCCTTGGGGCCCCTTGGGGCCCCTTGGGGCTCAGCCATCAGCCTATCCTGCATAGCCGGCGGTTCTTCCTGCCAGCAGACAGACTGCAGTGAAGGTTTACCACGACATCATGCTTCTTGACAGCACTGCGGTCTGCGGTCTGCAGTCTGCAGCAGACGGCAAGGCACCGCCCGTGGATGTCCACTGGTTCCTCAGTCCGACCCAAGCAACGCCCACGAGTCCTCTCGGCTCCATGATCCTTGGGCGCAATCGGCGGCCAGGATGGCTGTGTCGAATCGAGTCGGATCCCCTTGTGGTGGACTCCCTGCCGAGGATCCATGCAATCCATGTGAAGGTGTGCAGATGAGCTAAAAACGCCACGCTGACCCTTGAGCTCGGGTAATGCAGATCAGGACAGTTGACAAGTTGGAGCGGGATGGCCATGGCTGCGAGAGAGACTCTTGACTGGTAGCCACTCAGACGCCGCCGAACGGGGGGCGAGTGGGCGAGGGGGGGGCGAGTGGGCGAGGGGGGGGCGAGTGGGCAAGAAGGCAAGTGGGCAGATACTCGTAATAATGTGCACGTCGTTCGAGCAGACGCCGCCGGGCGCGCACCTCATTCACCCTCCTCGGCTACGGCCTGCACGCTGCAACTCGTGCCGTGCCTGCTCTCGCCAGCGGCCAGCCATCGAGGGGCGTTCCTCTCCGTGGCCGTTCCTCTGTGTGGCTTCACGGGGCCGACAGCTGCCACTGGCCCGCTGCATGGTTGCAGACCTCAGACCTCAGAGTCCGGACGATCGTTGTTCAATTTGATCTGAGCGGAGAGCGCGTTGAAACTGGCACCTCAAGTTTCCGGCAAGATGGAACACACAACCCCCCGGCCATGATGCGTCCCCCCCCCGCGCGCACGCCCAATAGGGGCAATGTTTGACAGATATTTTTATCCCACAAGATCAGCTCGATCTCTCCCTGGTGGGCGGATTGGCGGTTTCTCCAAGCGTTCTTGCGTCCTGAGTCCTGACGTTCTGATATATGATATGCGGCAGAAGATCTCCCGAGGGCCACGGAAGGCTTCTCGCTTGCGTCGCTGCAGTGGTCAAAGCGAAGCGCCAATCATCTGGCGCATGATTGTCATGAAGCTCTCAATGTTGTGGAAATACACAGTGACAACACCTCTGCAATGCGTGTCTCCTGAGCTGTACACGTGAAATCCTCCCCTTGTTCCATTGAGCTGTTCCCGCCGCATTCAGCATTAATGGGCTCTCCTATTGTTGTATGCCGTGTGATGGAGTGCTCGCGCCTCGTGGATATTTCGGAAATGATGCCCTGACGAGTGCAGGCGGTTCCCCCGGCAGGGCGGCCTCAGTGCGTGGACTTGCTCGCTCCATTGTTATTATATCAAGGTTCTCCCCCTGATATTGGGCAGTGCCCAGAGAGGGGCGCAGAAATCTGGGAAAGATCTGGAGATTATCGCAAGGGCAGCCTGGAGAGGCTGGATAAATTCAGCTTTGGGGTCACACACAGCCTTCTGGAAGGTGTTCAGGGGCTCAAGGCGTCCCAACGTTGCAATGATTCTTCGCCATCGCTATATCAGCTAGAACCGCGATCCAGTGATTGGTGTCAAAATTCCCCTTTCCGAGGGGGCGACAGGGAGATCCTCACTCCCCAGCCAGTCAAATCGATACCCTTGGAAGAGCTCTTTTCCACGTCTTCAGGCAGGGAAGAAGCTTGATAGGCACATCGAACATATTCCCTTCCCCGGATAGTATTACATGGCCAAACTTTCTTCCTGCGTTTACTGGCTATCGGGACCCGAGGTGTTCTGCACCAGTACTCTACCGGTTGGATTCTCCGGCACTCCTTTGAATGGCTCCAGAGGATGATTCATCAAAGACGCACATGTTCTGGAGGGGTCGATGGCCCAGGATCAGAACTTGCTCAAAGCGCCTCTAAAGCTTTTGTTGTGAGCCACGAGGAAGCTCTGTCCAAAGATCGTAGTGGCGTACGGAAGGCTACAACCTGATACCACGGAGGCTTTTTTGTGCAACACCCGCACGCGAACAGACGCGAGGGAGGTCCTCTCGCAGTAAATTTTAGATGAGCTGGTGGTTGCACACGCAAGGCGAAGCACACGCGGGATGGATATTATCTGCATATATTGGATCTGGAGATTCGTCCAGGATCGTGGGAACGGGGCAACAATTACCACCGGTAGAGGTCGATCCTCCGACAAAACTTGCTCTGCAGCTCCCACTTGTCATCTGAGTGTCGGGTGTTGGCTGGCAAGTTTGCTGTGGGCTGCCGTCAACTTCTGCAATCTACCGGTTCCACTGTCAAAATGGGCCCTCCAATACTACGTGGACCTTCAAGCGAGGCCTCTTTCAGGCCCCCTGTTTCCGGAAATAAGTAAAATCCTCAAACCTTCTCCCTGTTTGGATGGCCGTCGCCGTCACTTCTTAAATCTAGGAATTATCCAGAGAATTGACACCTCGCCGCAAGAATAAGCCGAAGATCGATCGTGGGTCGTGGGATCCGGACGAGCTTTGATCTTACCAGCCCTGGCGCCCTCAAAACATCAGAGGAAACTCCTCTCCAGCCCCTTGGAACATCACCTCAATAAGCCCTGCAACTTCAAATACGCACCGCCGCACTGAAAAAGACTTGTGTTCAATTCGTTGCACATCTGAGCGCGCCGTTATTCTGAGGCGCCTTTTCTGCACGCGGGACTCGAGAACTAGGGTTTGCAGGCCCCTCCTATATTACCGTCTGTTATACATCGCTTCGGTCTTTGTTGCAACCTCAGCGCTCTAGCCGAGCTTTATGCTAGCCAGAAGCAAGACCCGTTGCTCAAGCCCTCAGATGTCGCCGGGAAACTTGAAGTGCGGCGAAGTAATCCCATTCGGAGCATTCAGCGGGGTGTGGATCACTAGATCTCT